AGAGATTTGCAAGGTATTGATGGTTGAGGCTTCTTGACGAGATTGGCAAGGTATTGATGGTTGAGGCTTCTTGACGAGATTGGCAAGGTATTGATGGTTGAGGCTTCTTGACGAGATTGGAAAGGTATTGATGGTTGAGGCTTCTTGACGAGATTGGCAAGGTATCGTACCTCGTTCTGTGTACAACGCTCCAATACCAACAGCCGCTATTCGCCACTAAGTGACGGCTACGTCACCACGGCCCCGGTGGCAGGCCACGTGCACTTTGAGGCCACGTAAAGTGTCGAAGGCTCGTTGGCAGGAGGTCACGGGACAGACCCACGTGTCTTTATTATGCTGACGAACCCACATGGGTTGACTGACTGAGACGACTGGCAGATACACCAGCTGTGCCCCCCTACCGTGCCAACTTGCTCCCATTTTATCCGCCCGTCGCTCGGCTTGTTGTTGTGAGCGAACCCTCGTCTGCCCTCCGTTGTTGTTGTTGGAGGGCGACTGCCTCCAACTGCCCAGTAGCAGCGTCCTTCATGAGTCTCCATCACACACACACACACTGGTGGACATTGTGTTGTTGTCCACCGAGAGCTGGTGGTGACTCTCATCTCGGTCTGGAGGGCCGCTGTCTGTGCGTCGTTCCGCGCCTCGTGTGTTCTAGAACAGAGAGGGGGGATACGCTAACTACATTGACAATATAAGAGCCACTTAGATTTTATTCCGTTGTTGGTCAAATTAGGTTAAACAAACGGAGTGGAAAAAAACCCCGCAACTCAAAATGTCAAGAGGCCGTGCACGGTGCGATGTGGTGAGTACGAGCCAGACGGTAGTGGTCCTCAATGAACTCACGAACTCACTCACGTGGCGGACCAGTCTGCTCACAGAGCGACACGCAGGTTACCGAGTCCTGCTGTCGACGTCGAAGGCCACGTGATGCCCGTCACCACGACCCCTTCTCGATCTCTCTGCGTTGGCTCTGTTGTTCCACGTGTTAATTGTACTTTCAACTTAATTCCCCTCGTTAAATGTTCGTCTCAACCTTAATTTAATCTCGTGTTCTGTTGTACTTTGTAATGTGTTTATTTTTTACATTTTGAGTGCTTTTAATAATGTATCTAATTTGTTATGTTCCTGTGTGTACCTGTTTGACCCTGGTATCAATAGACTCCCTGGTGCCAGTTCACTCTGTAGCGGGGTTCATCATGACTATTGTGTAATCATTATAATGCCACTTAATTACCCAGTGATAGCTTCACTAAGTCTCAAAACTCTTTTTTAAGAGAGCCCTGCCGAGTTCTCGCAGTAGGAGACGATGTTGCTGCTACTGTGTTATCCAAATTGAGAAATGTGCGGACAATATTTCAGCATTGCGATGTTTAGCCAATACAAGTTACATCTGTGCGGTTTTTCGCTCTGAGTATAAACGAAAGGACCCGGAGAAGCCCGTGCAGAACAGGGGGAGATCACACAAACTACACTCACTCTGTAGTACAGGGGGAGATCATACAAACTACACTCACTCACTCCGCAGAACAAGGGGAGATCACACAAACTACACTCACTCTGTAGTACAGGGGGAGATCACACAAACTACACTCACTCTGTAGTACAGGGGGAGATCATACAAACTACACTCACTCACTCCGCAGAACAAGGGGAGATCACACAAACTACACTCACTCTGTAGTACAGGGGGAGATCACACAAACTACACTCACTCCGCAGAACAAGGGGAGATCACACAAACTACACTCACTCTGTAGTACAGGGGGAGATCACACAAACTACACTCACTCACTCCGCAGTACAAGGGGAGATCACACAAACTCCACTCACTCCATAGAACAGGGGGAGATCACACAAACTACACTCACTCTGTAGTACAGGGGGAGATCACACAAACTACACTCACTCACTCCGCAGTACAGGGGGAGCTCATACAAACTCCACTTACTCCGTAGAACAGGGGGAGATCATACAAACTACACTCACTCTGTAGTACAGGGGGAGATCATACAAACTCCACTCACTCCGTAGAACAGGGGGAGATCACACAAACTCCACTCACTCCATAGAACAGGGGGAGATCACACAAACTACACTCACTCTGTAGTACAGGGGGAGATCACACAAACTGCACTCACTCACTCCGCAGTACAGGGGGAGATCACACAAACTACACTCACTCACTCCGTAGAGCAGGGGGAGCTCATACAAACTCCACTCACTCCGTAGAACAGGGGGAGATCATACAAACTACACTCACTCTGTAGTACAGGGGGAGATCATACAAACTCCACTCACTCCGTAGAACAGGGGGAGATCATACAAACTACACTCACTCTGTAGTACAGGGGGAGATCATACAAACTACACTCACTCTGTAGTACAGGGGGAGATCACACAAACTACACTCACTCACTCTGTAGTACAGGGGGAGATCACAAACTACACTCACTCTGTAGTACAGGGGGAGATCACACAAACTACACTCACTCACTCCGTAGTACAGGGGGAGATCACACAAACTACACTCACTCTGTAGTACAGGGGGAGATCACACAAACTACACTCACTCACTCCGTAGTACAGGGGGAGATCACACAAACTACACTCACTCACTCCGCAGTACAGGGGGAGCTCATACAAACTACACTCACTCACTCCGTAGAGCAGGGGGAGCTCATACAAACTACACTCACTCTGTAGTACAGGGGGAGATCATACAAACTACACTCACTCACTCCGTAGTACAGGGGGAGATCACACAAACTACACTCACTCACTCCGCAGTATAAGGGGAGATCACACAAACTGCACTCACTCACTCCGCAGTACAGGGGGAGCTCATACAAACTCCACTCACTCCGTAGAACAGGGGGAGATCATACAAACTACACTCACTCCGCAGTACAGGGGGAGCTCATACAAACTCCACTCACTCCGTAGAACAGGGGGAGATCATACAAACTACACTCACTCTGTAGTACAGGGGGAGATCATACAAACTACACTCACTCTGTAGTACAGGGGGGGATCATACAAACTACACTCACTCACTCCGTAGTACAGGGGGAGATCATACAAACTCCACTCACTCTGTAGTACAGGGGGAGATCACACAAACTACACTCACTCTGTAGTACAGGGGGAGATCACACAAACTACACTCACTCTGTAGTACAGGGGGAGATCACACAAACTACACTCACTCCGCAGAACAAGGGGAGATCACACAAACTACACTCACTCTGTAGTACAGGGGGAGATCACACAAACTACACTCACTCACTCCGCAGTACAAGGGGAGATCACACAAACTCCACTCACTCCATAGAACAGGGGGAGATCACACAAACTACACTCACTCTGTAGTACAGGGGGAGATCACACAAACTACACTCACTCACTCCGCAGTACAGGGGGAGATCACACAAACTACACTCACTCACTCCGTAGAGCAGGGGGAGCTCATACAAACTCCACTCACTCCGTAGAACAGGGGGAGATCATACAAACTACACTCACTCTGTAGTACAGGGGGAGATCATACAAACTCCACTCACTCCGTAGAACAGGGGGAGATCACACAAACTCCACTCACTCCATAGAACAGGGGGAGATCACACAAACTACACTCACTCTGTAGTACAGGGGGAGATCACACAAACTGCACTCACTCACTCCGCAGTACAGGGGGAGATCACACAAACTACACTCACTCACTCCGTAGAGCAGGGGGAGCTCATACAAACTCCACTCACTCCGTAGAACAGGGGGAGATCATACAAACTACACTCACTCTGTAGTACAGGGGGAGATCATACAAACTCCACTCACTCCGTAGAACAGGGGGAGATCATACAAACTACACTCACTCTGTAGTACAGGGGGAGATCATACAAACTACACTCACTCTGTAGTACAGGGGGAGATCACACAAACTACACTCACTCACTCTGTAGTACAGGGGGAGATCACACAAACTACACTCACTCTGTAGTACAGGGGGAGATCACACAAACTACACTCACTCACTCCGTAGTACAGGGAGAGATCACACAAACTACACTCACTCTGTAGTACAGGGGGAGATCACACAAACTACACTCACTCACTCCGTAGTACAGGGGGAGATCACACAAACTACACTCACTCACTCCGCAGTACAGGGGGAGCTCATACAAACTACACTCACTCACTCCGTAGAGCAGGGGGAGCTCATACAAACTACACTCACTCTGTAGTACAGGGGGAGATCATACAAACTACACTCACTCACTCCGTAGTACAGGGGGAGATCACACAAACTACACTCACTCACTCCGCAGTATAGGGGGAGATCACACAAACTGCACTCACTCACTCCGCAGTACAGGGGGAGCTCATACAAACTCCACTCACTCCGTAGAACAGGGGGAGATCATACAAACTACACTCACTCCGCAGTACAGGGGGAGCTCATACAAACTCCACTCACTCCGTAGAACAGGGGGAGATCATACAAACTACACTCACTCTGTAGTACAGGGGGAGATCATACAAACTACACTCACTCTGTAGTACAGGGGGGGATCATACAAACTACACTCACTCACTCCGTAGTACAGGGGGAGATCATACAAACTCCACTCACTCACTCACTCCGTAGAGCAGGGGGAGATCATACAAACTACACTCACTCACTCCGCAGTATAGGGGGAGATCATACAAACTCCACTCACTCACTCCGTAGAACATGAGGAGATCATACAAACTACACTCACTCCGTAGAACAGGGGGAGATCATACAAACTACACTCACTCCGTAGTAAAGGGGGAGATCATACAAACTCCACTCTCTCTGCAGAAGGGGGGGGGGGGGGTGAGAGAACGTACAAACTCCACACAGAGATAGGCGTCCGAGTCTAGTGTCGAACTCATGCGACTCTGCTTGCGATGCGCGAGTGTCACCGCTTCCTGTCGCCCGTACGACCTCGTGCTCTCGTCCCTCTCGTCGTGTGCAGGCCAAGCCGCTCTATGGCGGGTGGCTGTGCCTCGCCCCAGAGGGGACCGACTTCGGGAACTCTCTGCAGAGATCGAGGGTAAGTTAAGCGACAGGTCTCCTGCCCATAACATTCATTCGTCGCATCTTATTTATTATTTTTTATATATAGAAAGAGTGAACGCCTTAGCTCATGGGCAGTTCTGAGTCTATGGTGCAGTGCTGAGTCTATGGTGCAGTGTTGAGTCTATGGGTAGCAGTACTGAGTCTGTGGGCAGTGCTGAGTCTGTGGGTAGCAGTGCTGAGTCTATGGTGCACTGCTGAGTCTATGGGTAGCAGTGCTGAGTCTATGGTGCAGTGCTGAGTCTATGGTGCACTGCTGAGTCTATGGTGTAATACTGAGACTATGGTGCAGTGTTGAGTATATGGGTAGCAGTGCTGAGTCTATGGCAAGTTCTGAGTCTATGGGCAGTGCTGAGACTATGGTGCAGTGCTGAGTCTATGGGTAGCAGTGCTGAGTCTACGGTGCAGTGCTGAATCTATGGGTAGCAGTGCTGAGTCTATGGTGCAGTGTTGAGTCTATGGGTAGCAGTACTGAGTCTATGGGCAGTGCTGAGTCTATGGGCAGTGCTGAGTCTATGGTACAGTGCTGAGTCTATGGTGCAGTGTTGAGTCTATGGGTAACAGTGCTGAGTCTATGGGTAGCAGTGCTGAGTATATGGTGCAGTGCTGAGTCTATGGTGCAGTGTTGAGTCTATGGGTAGCAGTGCTGAGTCTATGGGTAGCAGTGCTGAGTCTATGGTGCAGTGTTGAGTCTATGGGTAACAGTGCTGAGTCTATGGTGCAGTGCTGAGTCTATGGGCAGTGCTGAGTCTATGGGCAGTGCTGAGTCTATGGGTAGCAGTGCTGAGTCTATGGGCAGTGCTGAGTCTACGGGTAGCAGTGCTGCTCAATGTGCAGGGGAAGTTGATTCCAGTGGAGGGCTGCAAGGAGGGAGAAGGACCGAACACGGGGACTGGGCACAGGGAGGAGGAGGGACAGAGAGAAGATTGGGAACGAAGAGGACGAGAGGAGGATTCACGGAGGGAGATGAGAGAGGCGAGATGAGGTGGGGAGTGGCTGCAGGAGGAGGAGATGTAACTCGTCTGTCCCGTGCCTTGCTCTCTCGTCCTCACAGAAATGGCAGAGGCGCTTCTTCCTGCTGTACGAGCACGGGGAGCTGCGCTACGCCCTGGACGCCGTGGTGAGGCCCTCCGCGGCAGCCTCCGTCGTGTGGCCCGGCTGCCCGCAGCGCTCCCGCCCTGGGGTTGTGTACCACGTACAGTGGGGGAAAAAAAGTATTTGATCCCCTGCTGATTTTGAACGTTTGCCCACTGACAAAGAAATGATCAGTCTATAATTTTAATGGTAGGTTTATTTGAACAGTGAGAGACAGAATAACAACAACAAAAATCCTGAAAAACGCATGTCAAAAATTTTATAAATTGTTTTGCATTTTAATTAGGGAAATAAGTATTTGACTCCTCTGCAAAACATGACTTAGTACTTGGTGGCAACACCCTTGTTGGCAATCACAGAGGTCAGACGTTTCTTGTAGATGGCCACCAGGTTTGCACACATCTCAAGAGGGATTTTGTCCCATTCCTCTCTTCTTCTCAAGTCATTAAGGTTTCGAGGCTGACGTTTGGCAACTGGAACCTTCAGCTCCCTCCACAGATTTTCTATGGGATTAAGGTCTGGAGACTGGCTAGGCCACCCCAGGACCTTAATGTGCTTCTTCTTGAGCCACTCCTTTGTTGCCTTGGCCGTGTGTTTTGGGTCATTGTCATGCTGGAATACCCATCCACGACCCATTTTCAATGCCCTGGCTGAGGGAAGGAGGCTCTCACCAAAGATTTGACGGTACATGGCCCCGTCCATCGTCCCTTTGATGCGGTGAAGTTGTCCTGTCCCCTTAGCAGAAAAACACCCCCAAAGCATAATGTTTCCACCTCCATGTTTGACGGTGGGGATGGTGTTCTTGGGGTCATAGGCAGCATTCCTCCTCCTCCAAACACGGCGAGTTGAGTTGATGCCAAAGAGCTCTATTTTGGGCTCATCTGACCACAACACTTTCACCCAGTTGTCCTCTAAACCATTCAGATGTTCATTGGCAAACTTCAGGCGGGCATATATATGTGCTTTCTTGAGCAGGGGGACCTTGCGGGCGCTGCAGGATTTCAGTCTTTCACGGCGTAGTGTTACCAATTGTTTTCTTGGTGACTATGGTCCCAGCTGCCTTGAGATCATTGACAAGATCCTCCCGTGTAGTTCTGGGCTGATTCCTCACCGTTCTCATGATCATTGCAACTCCACGAGGTGAGATCTTGCATGGAGCCCCAGGCCGAGGGAGATTGACAGTTCTTTTGTGTTTCTTCCATTTGCGAATAATCGCACCAACTGTTGTAACCTTATATTCTTAGTTTTTTCGGTAAAGTCACGTTGAAGAGAAACAACAAAATAACAAAATATATATAAAACAATAAAAAATTCTCACGACGTTTCGACCATAACTCAAACGGTCATCATCAGGTGTGTCGGTTTGCATAAATTTATTTTGAAAACGGCATATTTATTTATATATATAAAAAAATAACGTTTGCGTCACGCGCAGCGATTGGCAGTTTGCCCAGGACTAGTCCATCTATTTTTTGAAAAGAGGAGGGGGGAGACGAAATTTGTTTTTATGTATGCTGTCTGAAAGCCACTGTAAGCGTGAACAATCAATCAAGAACTGAAATGATTTATCAAATCTTTCCAATGATTGCTAAGATAGAATCCATCTTCTCGGTTGAAATTGTCTCTGTGCTTGTATATGTGGATAGCCTCATGAACGAATCTCTCATGGAAGCCAGATGGCTTACAAAGAACCTCCGTCTTGGAAAAGTCAATGGCATGTGAGCCTACTGAATTAGAACAATGATCTGCTACGGCCGAGGTGTTGGTCCTACCGTGTTTAAGGTCTGCTTTATGTTCACGAATGCGGTCCGAGATATGGCGTTTGGTTTCTCCAATGTAACTACTACCACAGAGGCAACTTAGTTTGTAGACACCAGGGTATTGTATGTCCGGAATCACATCTTTTACAGACGGAACCAGATCACGGATTTTATGTAATGTGTTGAAACGGACCTGGATCTTGTGTTTATTCAAGATTTTGGAGATCTTTTTTGTGATCCCAGCAATGTAGGGTAAAGTGATGGTTTTGAAAGGCTCCTCAAGAGGGTTCTTCTTCATGGTTTGAGTGATAGCTTTGCGGATTGTATAGTCGGAGTAACCATTAGCCCTAAGAGCTTGGTGTACGTGCTTGAGTTCACTGCTTATGTGTTCCTGGTCAGATATGCATTGGGCTCTATGATACAGAGTCTTGATGAGATAATTCTTCTGTGATGGATGGTGGTGGGAATCCGGTTTCAGATAAGCATCCGTATGGGTAGCTTTCCTGTAGACAGAGTGGCTCATTGAACCATCAGGTCTCTTTTTAATTAGGACATCCAAAAAAGGTATCTTGCCATCTATTTCGACTTCCATGGTAAATCTGATGGCTGGGTGTATGGAATTGATGTGGTCGAAGAATTGGTCTAGAGCAGGCCGGCCATGTGGCCAGATGACAAAAGTGTCATCCACGTACCTCTTCCATAAGGTTGGGCGCAGAGTGGCAGTCTGGATGGCGTCAGTCTCAAATTTCTCCATGAAAATGTTAGCTATAACTGGAGAAAGGGGGGAGCCCATTGGGGTTCCCTCAGTTTGTTTGTAGAAAGTTCCATTCCAAGTGAAGTATGTATTGGTTAAACAGTGTCTCACCAGGGGGGGTTACCTCAGTGTTTAGTCCTTGATGAACCAAGTCTTCAATGATTGCAATGGTGTCAGGTACAGGAACCTTGGTGAATAAGGAAACTACATCAAAACTGACAAGCAGGTCGTCTGGGGACAGGGAAATACCCTTGATTGTTGATACCAGGTGAGTAGAATTTTGTACCGCAGAGGTGGTCTTTCCAGTGAAAGGACGCAGGATTTCAGACAAAAAACGAGCTAGTTTGTAGGTGGGGGAGCTGATAGTAGAGACTATGGGACGAAGAGGTGTATCAACTTTATGTATTTTTGGTAAGCCGTATAATCTTGGTGGCCTGGCAGCAGAAGGTTTCAACGAAAACTGTTTAGATTGATCAATTAATGCGGTTGAATCAGAAATTATTTTGTTGGTTTGTGTGACGAGGCTGTTGGTGGGATCTCTTTTTATTTTTGTATAACTACCATCGTCGAGTAATTCTTTAATTTTGTTGTTGTATTCTATTTTATCCATGATGACAGTAGCATTGCCTTTGTCAGCTGAGAGAACTACAATATCATTCCTCTTTTTAATTTATATAATTCAAAACGCTCATCTTTGCTGAGGTTGCTAGCTGGCATCTTAGCGTTTTTGAGGGTTGCAGCGATTTCAGATCTTGCTACGTCTGCAGCGATGTGACCCAGGCCCCTGAGAGCAACGTCTACTTGGGCAATTATATCATTAACTGGTATGTGTTTAGGTGTGACTGCAAAGTTTAGACCTTTAGCTAAAACGGATTTCAGACCATCGGAAATAGAACTGTTACTGCGATTAATTACGACTTTATTAACGTCTAACTTTTTGGTGTGTTGGTCCGGTCTTTTGTTGAAGAGGAGGTTAAATTTGGAAATCAGGTTTTCCTTACATTTGGTCGACATAGTAGCAGCTGAAGAGGCAGTCATATTGTCTACATGTTCCCAATCCGATGTGGACATTATTGCCGTCAATGATAAGTGTGATTTGTAGAGTGTCTTGTCTAACTGATCTAGTTCTGTGCGTATAAGTCTGATTTTTTCTGAGATAAGAGCTAAGCTAGTTTTGAAAAGAATTCGTTTCGCATTAGAAGAAGTTACAGTAGCAGAGGTGAGTGTAAATGCGATTGGTATTACCCCAGAGTCGCGGCATCTCTTCAGGAAGGTGAGAGACTCGATCAGCTGAGCTTTCTTATCCCGGAGTTTGTTGAAGGATCTTAAAGTTATGTGAAAACCCTCCCCGTAGAGGCGATTAAATTTTGATTTAAAGCTTTCGTGACTGCAGTAATTCATATTCTTAGTTTTTTCGGTAAAGTCACGTTGAAGAGAAACAACAAAATAACAAAATATATATAAAACAATAAAAAATTCTCACGACGTTTCGACCATAACTCAAACGGTCATCATCAGGTGTGTCGGTTTGCATAAATGTATTTTGAAAACGGCATATTTATTTATTTATATATAAAACAAAATAACGTTTGCGTCACGCGCAGCGATTGGCAGTTTGCCCAGGACTAGTCCATCTATTTTTTGAAAAGAGGAGGGGGGAGACGAAATTTGTTTTTATGTATGCTGTCTGAAAGCCACTGTAAGCGTGAACAATCAATCAAGAACTGAAATGATTTATCAAATCTTTCCAATGATTGCTAAGATAGAATCCATCTTCTCGGTTGAAATTGTCTCTGTGCTTGTATATGTGGATAGCCTCATGAACGAATCTCTCATGGAAGCCAGATGGCTTACAAAGAACCTCCGTCTTGGAAAAGTCAATGGCATGTGAGCCTACTGAATTAGAACAATGATCTGCTACGGCCGAGGTGTTGGTCCTACCGTGTTTAAGGTCTGCTTTATGTTCACGAATGCGGTCCGAGATATGGCGTTTGGTTTCTCCAATGTAACTACTACCACAGAGGCAACTTAGTTTGTAGACACCAGGGTATTGTATGTCCGGAATCACATCTTTTACAGACGGAACCAGATCACGGATTTTATGTAATGTGTTGAAACGGACCTGGATCTTGTGTTTATTCAAGATTTTGGAGATCTTTTTTGTGATCCCAGCAATGTAGGGTAAAGTGATGGTTTTGAAAGGCTCCTCAAGAGGGTTCTTCTTCATGGTTTGAGTGATAGCTTTGCGGATTGTATAGTCGGAGTAACCATTAGCCCTAAGAGCTTGGTGTACGTGCTTGAGTTCACTGCTTATGTGTTCCTGGTCGGATATGCATTGGGCTCTATGATACAGAGTCTTGATGAGAGAATTCTTCTGTGATGGATGGTGGTGGGAATCCGGTTTCAGATAAGCATCCGTATGGGTAGCTTTCCTGTAGACAGAGTGGCTCATTGAACCATCAGGTCTCTTTTTAATTAGGACATCCAAAAAAGGTATCTTGCCATCTATTTCGACTTCCATGGTAAATCTGATGGCTGGGTGTATGGAATTGATGTGGTCGAAGAATTGGTCTAGAGCAGGCCGGCCATGTGGCCAGATGACAAAAGTGTCATCCACGTACCTCTTCCATAAGGTTGGGCGCAGAGTGGCAGTCTGGATGGCGTCAGTCTCAAATTTCTCCATGAAAATGTTAGCTATAACTGGAGAAAGGGGGGAGCCCATTGGGGTGCCCTCAGTTTGTTTGTAGAAAGTTCCATTCCAAGTGAAGTATGTATTGGTTAAACAGTGTCTCACCAGGGGGGGTACCTCAGTGTTTAGTCCTTGATGAACCAAGTCTTCAATGATTGCAATGGTGTCAGGTACAGGAACCTTGGTGAATAAGGAAACTACATCAAAACTGACAAGCAGGTCGTCTGGGGACAGGGAATACCCTTGATTGTTGATACCAGGTGAGTAGAATTTTGTACCGCAGAGGTGGTCTTTCCAGTGAAAGGACGCAGGATTTCAGACAAAAAACGAGCTAGTTTGTAGGTGGGGGAGCTGATAGTAGAGACTATGGGACGAAGAGGTGTATCAACTTTATGTATTTTTGGTAAGCCGTATAATCTTGGTGGCCTGGCAGCAGAAGGTTTCAACGAAAACTGTTTAGATTGATCAATTAATGCGGTTGAATCAGAAATTATTTTGTTGGTTTGTGTGACGAGGCTGTTGGTGGGATCTCTTTTTATTTTTGTATAACTACCATCGTCGAGTAATTATTTAATTTTGTTGTTGTATTCTATTTTATCCATGATGACAGTAGCATTGCCTTTGTCAGCTGAGAGAACTACAATATCATTCCTCTTTTTTAATTTATATAATTCAAAACGCTCATCTTTGCTGAGGTTGCTAGCTGGCATCTTAGCGTTTTTGAGGGTTGCAGCGATTTCAGATCTTGCTACGTCTGCAGCGATGTGACCCAGGCCCCTGAGAGCAACGTCTACTTGGGCAATTATATCATTAACTGGTATGTGTTTAGGTGTGACTGCTTGGCAATGATTGTAGCCCATTCCAGCCTTGTAGCCCATTCCAGCCTTGTAGCCCATTCCAGCCTTGTGTAGGTCTACAATCGTGTCCCTGACATCCTTGGAGAGCTCTTTGGTCTTGGCCATGGTGGAGAGTTTGGAATCTGATTGATTCATTGCTTCTGTGGACAGGTGTCTTTTATACAGGTAACAATCTGAGATTAGGAGCACTCCCTTTAAGAGTGTGTTCCTAATCTCAGCTCGTTACCTGTATAAAAGACAACTGGGAGCCAGAAATCTTTCTGATTGAGAGGGGGTCAAATACTTATTTCCCTCATTAAAATGCAAATAAATTTATAACATTTTTGACATGCGTTTTTCTGGATTTTTTTGTTACTATTCTGTCTCTCACTGTTCAAATAAACCTACCATTAAAATTATAGACTGATCATTTCTTTGTCAGTGGGCAAACGTACAAAATCAGCAGGGGATCAAATACTTTTTTCCCTCACTGTATATTGAAGTCTGCTTTGAAGCCCATCTCTTTGAAGTGGCCTTCCCTCTGCAGTTTGGTCGGGTGGCCCTGGTTCTCGTTTTGTTTCCTGCTTTCCATGCATTGTGCATTGGGATCCTAGGGTGGAATGCACATTAAACATTTTAATTATTATTAATGTTGATGTTGTTGATGTTAATATTGTTATTGTTGATGTAGATATTGTTAATGATGTTGTTGATGTCGTTGTTAATGTTGATGTTGTTGGTGATGTTGTTGATGTTGTCGATGTTGACGTTGTGGATGTTGTCGAGATGTTCTTGTCATTGATGTCGTTGTCGTCGAGTGCAGCCGAGCACTTTGCCGCAAGGCATTGTGCGCATGTCGGACGTGGTGGAGGTGGTGGAGGCTGAGAGCCACACAGGCCAGAGGAACTCGCTGTGCATCTCCACGCCGCAGCGACACTTCTTCGTCCGCGGAGAAACCAGGGAGGACATTGGCGGGTCGGTCTCCAGCTGCAGCAGCAACCATTTCACTGCCTCCTGTTGTTGTTGTTATTAATATGATCATGAATTAAATAAGGATAGGATTTACCCTTTCTGGCAAGAATACAGGAGGTGTTAAGATATTCAAACACCAAATAGACACCTTTTAAAGGAAAGGGTTTAGCCTGTAAATTTTTCATCAGTTTGATACCGGCAAAAAGGGTCCCATTGATATCACTGCTCGGCCCGACGCATTGATACTTTGATATTTGCATTGCCCTTGTACTGTTCGCCTGCTGGCGTTGTTCTCTGGTCTCACACTGGTGGTGAGACGAGGCCATACGGGAGGCTTCTCTGGTGTAGGCCAATAAGTTTCAGAGACAAAGGCATCATCAAATCTCAATTAGCCACACGTACGCGTGGCAACACATGCCAACAAACATGCCCTGGTAACAATGTACCCATTGTGTTTGAAACCGACAGCATCCTCCTTTATGGCCTTGTCTCAACCTGATGAAGGCCGCTTGTGTTGTGGCCGAAACGTCGTGAGAATATTATTGTGTTATTTTATTTTATCAATTTATTATTTTATTCTCATTCTACGTGACTTTACCGAAAGAACCAAAGAAGATCAACCACCAGTGTTAGACCAAAGAACAGTGCCAAAAATCGAACAATACAAAGGCAATGCAAATATTTAAGTATTCATAGCTCTGGTTGAGCAGTTATAGCTATCGGACCTTTTTGGCAGCATCAAGACGATGAAAACATTCTAAATATTATGATGATCTTTGTTCTAGATTTGAAGTCTTCGTGACTGCAAGAATCCATACTCTTTGGTTTTATTCGGTGAAGTGACGTAGGAAAATAAATAAATCAAATAAAAATTATAACAACTTAATTGAGTTGTTTTCATTTTCATTTTATTTCTTTTTTTCTGGCGTAGGCCAATAAAATAAAATGAAAACAATTTAATTAACTTAGTTCAGTTGTTTTCATTTTTTATTAACTTCATTAAGTTGAATTTCGATTTAAAGCTTTCGTGACTGCAATGATTAATCTTCTTTGGTTCTTTCGGTAAAGTCACGTAGAATGAGAATAAAATAATAAATTGATAAAATAAAATAACACAATAATATTCTCACGACGTTTCGGCCACAACACAAGCGGCCTTCATCAGGTGAAGGGACGAGACTGTCTGGTAGGACAGCGCTGGAGTGAAAGAGCCACGTTCAGATCACGGCCTTTAAGCTGTGTGAGAGGAACAAAGCGCCTTGACAAAGGAATTAGCATATAATTTAGCATTGAAATGGCTGAATGATTAGCTTGTGACTGGTCACAGAAATAGCTATGTTAAAAGTTAAAGCATACACATCCGCAGAGGCACCCCTTGATAAAGGAATTAGCATAGAATTTAGCATTGAAATAGCTAAGTTAAAGCATACACATCCGCAGAGGCACCCCTTGACAATGGAATTAGCATAGAATTTAGTATTGAAATAGCTGAGTGATTAGCTTGTAACTGCTCACAGAAATAGCTACGTTAAAGTCAGAGCATACACATTCACCGAGGCACTTAGTACAAATCAAACAGGAGAATTTAGCATTGAAATAACTCGGCGAATTTAGCATTGAAATAACTGAGTGATTAGCTAGTGACTGGTCACAGAAATGACTATGTTGAAGTCAAGGCCTACACATCTGAGCTATTCACAGTACTATATAGTGAACCAATAAAAAACTAAAATATAAATTACCTTTGTTATCAATAAACTCTATATTCTCCAATCAGCTAAGCTACCAACAATAAGTCGTTATATATCACAATGCTATATGGCGAAAAAATGGGTGGATTCTTACCCTCAACTTTAGCACCACGGATAGCTATGGGCCCCGTTCAGACAGACGAGTTCATCCATGGTCGGAACAGAGGAGGGGGAGAGAGACAGCTGCGAGGCGCTATTATACTCCATGTTGTAAAACCATACCATTAACCGTGGTGTGAGAGGTATTAAGAGTCAATGCTGGCGAAAGAGCTGCGGTCTGAAGGTCATTGTAAAAATACAATTAATTAATAACAGAAATGGTTTAAAACATATTTCCAGTGGTTACTAAACCAGAATCCATCTTCTCGGTTGAAATTGTCTCTGTGCTTGTATATGTGAATGGCCTCGATCAGTTAGACAAGACACTCTACAAATCACACTTAAAATTGACAGCAACAATGTCTACATCGGATTGGGAACATGTAGACAATATGACTACCTCTTCGGCTGCCACTATGTCGAACAAATGTAGGGACAATTTGATTTCCAAATTCAATCACCTCTCCAGCAAAAAATCGGATCCACACACCGAAAAGATAGACGTCAACAAAGTCGTAATTAATCGCAGTAACAGTTCCATTTCTGATGGTCTGAAATCCGTTTTAGCTAAAGGTCTAAACTTTGCTGTCACACCGAGACACTTACCGGTTAATGATATCATTGCCCATGTCGACGTTGCACTCAAGGGCTTGAGTCACATCTCTGCAGACGTAGCAAGATCTGAAATCGCTGCAACCCTCAAAAACGCTAAGTTGCCACCCAGCAACATCAGCAAAGACGAACGTTTTGAATTATCTCAATTTAAAAAGAGGGATGATATTGTCGTCCTCTCAGCCGACAAAGGCAATGCCACTGTCATTATGGACAAAACAGAATATAACAACAAAATTCAAGAACTACTCAACGATGGCAGCTATACAAAAATAAAAAGAGATCCCACCAACAGCCTGGTCACCAAAACTAACAAAATCATCTCTGATTCAACAGCATTAATTGATGAGATCAAACAGTTCTCGTTGAAACCCTCTGCTGCCAGACCACCGAGATTATATGGCCTTCCAAAGATACTCAAAGAAGATACACCCCTTCGTCCCATCGTCTCTACTATCAACTCCCCCACCTACAAACTGGCACGTTTTCTTGCTGATATACTGCGACCTTTCACTGGAAAAACCACCTCTGCGGTACGAAATTCTACTCACCTGGTATCGACAATCAAAGGCATTTCCCTGTCCCCAGACGACCTGCTTGTCAGTTTTGATGTGGTGTCCTTGTTCACCAAAGTCCCGGTACCTGACACCATCGCTATCATTGAAGACCTGGTTCATCAAGGACTGCATACTGATGTACCCCCCCTGGTGAGACATTGCTTAACCAACACATACTTCACCTGGAATGGAACTTTCTACAAACAAACTGAGGGCACCCCAATGGGCTCCCCCCTATCTCCGGTTGTAGCCAACGTATTCATGGAAAAATTTGAAACTGACGCCATCCAGACTGCCACATTACGCCCGACCTTATGGAAGAGGTACGTTGATGACACCTTTGTCATCTGGCCACATGGCCAGCCTGCTCTAGACCAATTCCGCGACCACATCAATTCCATACACCCAGCCATCAGATTTACCATGGAGGTCGAAAAATATGGCAAACTACCCTTTTTGGATGTCTTAATTAAAAGGAGACATGATGGTTCAATGAGCCACTCTGTCTACAGGAAAGCTACCCATACAGATGCTTACTTGAAACCGGATTCCCACCACCATCCATCCCAGAAGAACTCCCTCATCAAGACTCTATACCATAGAGCCCAATGCATTTCCGACCAGGAACACATTACCAGTGAACTCAAGCACGTACACCAGGCTCTCAGGGCTAATGGCTACTCCGACTACACAATCCGCAAAGCCATCACTCCAGTCATGAAGAAGGATCCTCTTGTGGAGCCATTCAAAACCATCACCTTACCCTACATTGCAGGGGTCACTAAAAAGATCTCCAAAATCCTGAATAAACACAAGATCCAGGTCCGATTCAACACAGTACATAAAATCCGTGATTTAGTTCCATCTGTAAAAGATGCTGTTCCAGACATACAGTACCCGGGCGTTTACAAACTAAAGTGCCTCTGTGGTAGTAGCTACATTGGAGAAACCAAACGACATATTTCGGACCGCATCCGTGAACATAAAGCAGACTTGAAACACGGTAGGACGAACTCCTCTGCCGTGGCAGATCACTGTTATAATTCAGTGGGCTCACATGACATTGACTTCTCCAAGACGGAGGTTCTTTGCAAACCAACCGGCTACCATGAGAGATTCGTTCATGAGGCCATTCACATATACAAGCACAGAGACAATTTCAACTGAGAAGATGGATTCTGGTTTAGTAACCACTGGAAAGATGTTTTAAACCATTTCTGTTCTTAATTAATTGTATTTTTACGATGACCTTCAGACCGCAGCTCTTTCGCCAGCATTGACTCTTAATACCTCTCACACCACGGTTAATGGTATGGTTTTACAACATGGAGTATAATAGCGCCTCGCAGCTGTCTCTCTCCCCCTCCTCTGTTCCGACCATGGATGAACTCGTCCGTCTGAACGGCGCCCGTAGCTATCCGTGGTGCTAAAGTTGAGGGTAAGAATCCACCCATTTTTTCGCCATATAGCATTGTGATATATAACGACTTATTGTTGGTAGCTTAGCTGATTGGAGAATATAGAGTTTATTGATAACAAAGGTAATTTATATTTTAGTTTTTATTGGTTCACTATATAGTACTGTGAATAGCTCAGATGTGTAGGCCTTGACTTCAACATAGTCATTTCTGTGACCAGTCACTAGCTAATCACTCAGTTATTTCAATGCTAAATTCGCCTAGTTATTTCAATGCTAAATTCTCCTGTTTGATTTGTACTAAGTGCCTCGGTGAATGTGTATGCTCTGACTTTAACGTAGCTATTTCTGTGAGCAGTTACAAGCTAATCACTCAGCTATTTCAATACTAAATTCTATGCTAATTCCATTGTCAAGGGGTGCCTCTGCGGATGTGTATGCTTTAACTTAGCTATTTCAATGCTAAATTCTATGCTAATTCCTTTATCAAGGGGTGCCTCTGCGGATGTGTATGCTTTAACTTTTAACATAGCTATTTCTGTGACCAGTCACAAGCTAATCATTCAGCCATTTCAATGCTAAATTATATGCTAATTCCTTTGTCAAGGCGCTTTGTTCCTCTCACACAGCTTAAAGGCCGTGATCTGAACGTGGCTCTTTCACTCCAGTGCTGTCCTACCAGACAGTCTCGTCCCTTCACCTGATGAAGGCCGCTTGTGTTGTGGCCGAAACGTCGTGAGAATATTATTGTTATTTTATTTTATCAATTTATTATTTTATTCTCATTCTACGTGACCTTACCGAAAGAACCAAAGAAGATGATTCATTAAGTTGTTTTCATTTTTATTTTATTTTTTACCTACGTGACTTTACCGAATAAAACCAAAGAGTATGATTTTTGTTGTTAATATTACCCGAGCCAAAGCACTCATCGTCTATCTGGGTCAAGCCTGGGTATGGAGGTGCCAACCCGGGTGTCCACTCGGGTGCAGAATCAGATTCCGGATATTTAGTTAGACTGGAGGAGAAATCTGATGAGCTATGAAGCTCTTTTTCACAGATGTCCAGTCGGGGTGGGCAGTGCCTGCGAGGCGAAACGAGCGGCGTTCCCCTGCACCACGTCGCTCCGTTTGCCGCTGCGGCGTGAAACTCAATGCGCTGACACGGCCCCCCCCGACCCCCCATCCCACACAGCTGGCAGGAGGCGCTGGGCCCCTACGTGCTCGTCAACAAACAGACGCTGAAGAAGCGGAACGCCGGGAAGTCTCTTCAGCGGGTACACAGAGCTCGCCCCAGCCAAACCCACCCACCGCCACAGCGGGACTCACGCACGACCATAGCTGCACTCACGACGCACGCACGCAGCCATGACGCTGCGGCTACAAGAGCACGTGGCACACAAAACAATATTTGTAATTATAGTAAAACATATTTGAGCCCCCCACCAAAAGTAATGTCCCCGCACTGTCTGCGCTGGTAACACGATCTCTGTCTGACGGCGTCACGGTCGGCCCGCCGTTCATCATCCCACTGCATTGCTTCGACTCCGTGCTGTGTTGGTGGCCAGCCGTGTCGCTGGTCAGCTGTCTCCCGATTTGGGTCGAGGCTTTTCCGACAGCTCATCGCTGTTTTTAACCCTCTCGGCCCGACGCGGCCATAGCCTCATGGCACCAAGCGCCCTGGGTTCGATTCCCGACTCTGCGGAGTTTGTACATTGTGCGTTACGTACATATGTGTGCGTGTTGAACTTTGTTTCTCACCGTACGTAGCCAGCCGCACCGTACGTAGCCAGCCGCACCGTACGTAGCCAGCATCACCGTACGTAGCCAGCATCACCGTACGTATCCAGCATCACCGTACGTAGCCAGCCGCACCATACGTAGCCAGCCACACCGTACGTATCCAGCATCACCGTATGTAGCCAGCCGCACCATACGTAGCCAGCCACACCATATGTAGGCAGCATCACCGTACGTAGCCAGCCACACCGTACGTAGCCAGCCACACCGTACGTAGCCAGCCACACCGTACGTAGCCAGCATCACCGTACGTAGCCAGCATCACCGTACGTAGCCAGCCGCACCATACGTAGCCAGCCACACCGTACGTAGCCTCCCACACCGTACGTAGCTAGCCACACCGTACGTAGCCAGCATCACCGTACGTAGCCAGCTACACCGTACGTAGCCGGCATCACCGTACGTAGCCAGCCACACCGTACGTAGCCAGCATCACCGTACGTAGCCAGCCACACCGTACGTTCAGCCACACCGTACGTAGCCTCCCACACCGTACGTAGCCAGCATCACCGTACGTAGCCAGCCACGTCTCCCCCGGGTTTCTCTGGTTTCCTCCCATCTCTAAAAAAAAGTCTCACGCAGTGTGACCGGTATCGGCCAAACATCCCGATGTTGAAACATCATTGCTTCCAAATTAATCCATTGGGGCCTCCACAGCAGCAGAGGCAGGGGCAGAGTCGCAGCTTCCTGTAAACAATTGGCAGAACCCTCTTGGAAATGACTCTTGCGACTCTGCGAGGCTTTCGAGGATTGACTGATGGAATTTAAGGAGCGGAACTTCGATCGACAGTTTGCGTCGAGAAGCCGGTGTCGATTGTTATTTTAACAGGTAAGGCCCACTGAGCTGTATAGCTCTGACATGCCAATCTTCTCATGCCAATCTTCTCATGCCAATCTTCTCATGCCAATCACAATGTGAGACGGCTCCCACTGGTGCGGGAGCCGTCTCACATTCACACGCTAGTCTCTAATCTCTAGCAATACAATGGCTTCTTCAGCACCGTAGTGGTGGGGTTACATTAACACGTTGACATGCTAGTCTCTAGCAATACAATGGCTTCTTCAGCACCGTAGTGGTGGGGTTACATTAACACATTGACATGCTAATCTCTAATCTCTAGCAACACAATGGCTTCTTCAGCACCGTAGTGGTGGGGTTACATTAACACATTGACATGCTAGTCTCTAATCTCTAGCAACACAATGGCTTCTTCAGCACTGTAACCGTGGTGTTACATTAACACATTGACACGCTAATCTCTAATCTCTAGCAATACAATGGCTTCTTCAGCAACGTAGTGGTGGGGTTACATTAACACATTGACATGCTAGTCTCTAATCTCTAGCAATACAATGGGTTCTTCAGCACCGTAGTGGTGGTGTTACATTAACAGGTTGACACGCTAATCTCTAATCTCTAGCAATACAATGGGTTCTTCAGCACCGTAGTCATGGTGTTACATTAACAGGTTGACACGCTAATCTCTAGCAACATAATGGCCGAGGTATATTATTGTAAATTCCATGTCTAGCCCCGCCCACTTACCCTTGGGTTGCACCCATCTCAAACCTTTATAACCTCTTGCTGCAGTAGCTCTCTCGCTATAGTTCTCCTGCCTCAGCAGTTCGCCTGCTGTATTTTTTCACCTGAAGACGATTGCTTGTGTTGCGATTTTGTATTATTTGCCTATACGTGACTTTACCGAAAGACACAAAGAGTATGTATAGCTCTTACCTCAGAAACGACATGGCCACAAATGATCGCTCAACGAAGTGGCTTATCACGTGGAAATCTATCGCAGCCAAACAAAGTAATCTAAACGCACGTTGATTCTAATCGTGGAGGGTAAAACCGGAGGACGTGGAAAAATATCCAAGCGACCACGGGGGAGAGAGAGACGCACGCAAACTCCAAATATACAACAGGCATTACCAGGGGCAGGATCGAACCGACGACCTCCTGCATACCAGGCGAGGGAGATAACATCTCCTAGCCACTGAGCGGACGATTTATTGGAGTGATTTTGTTGGCAGGAGCCGAGCCCACCCAAGGCGACCTCGGGTCACGATACCACGGACGACCCCGGAGCCACGGACGCCGCCTTCCCGCAGTGTCGGCCTGGAGACCACTCCAGCTGCCCGACGTTCATGCAGCAGATCCACCATCGCTCACAGACACGCGGTACCCCCAAAGACAAATATACCCCCATATAGCCATAACAGAGTGTTCGGGGCAAGTGCTGTTAGAGTATTTGGCCGCTATAAATGTCCACATGAGGATAAGCCACTTCGTTGGGCAATCACTTGTGGCCAGGTCAGCGGGCCTTACCTGGTCAAATAAAAACGTTGTTTTTACTTTGATGCTCCGACGGCGGAGTGAGCGGCTCAGAAAGGTCACGAGTTCAAATCCACGGCAGGCGAGTTGACTCGACCCACCGTCCCTGAACCGCACTTCACGCCCAACTCGACGGTCCAACCCAAGCCCTCTGCGAGGGCTGTGAGGCGTGGGCGGCACCGCCACGCCACCCTCGCCTCACGCTCCTCATCCCGATCTCTGTTCACGCTCCCTGACCGGTTAAAGCCGTGGGTGGGGGGTGGTGGCCGATCTCTCCCCAGAGATGACCATTCACACTCTTTGCCGTTTACTTATTTTCAGCCGAGTTCATTTAGGGCATGTCCGCGCTACGTTCCGATTCTAAAATAAGTGGTGCACTTCATTAGGACGCCGTTTGGGTTTCTATGACGGCCGTGATCGCAGAGCGCTCGCTATGGCTGCAACCGAACAAAGATCCCCCGTGTAGCCTGTAACAGGCTGTAGGGGCAAGTGCTGTCAGCGAGCAGCACCTGTGAAGGCCGGCACGGCACACGAGGGGGTGGGTGGCCAGCACCACGCCCGGCCGCCTTTGTCTCCCCAGTGGCGATGTTTACTACACACCGGAACTCATTTGAGGCCGAGTCGACCTAGGGGAGGCCCAGGACCGGTTCAGATAATTTTCACTGCTGTTGGTGGCTGAGAGGAAGTCGAACTCGATTTGCCGGGTTCGTTGCACAGCGCGCTAAGGGACCGTCCATAAATGTCGTCACGCACCTAGGGGGGGAGGGGGTTCAGACATTTGTGACGATGTGTGGGAGCGGGGGTTTGATAAATGTGACGTCACATCAAAATGCGCAACTTTAAATAAATATTAACTAAATAGAATTGTTATAACAACACTAATTTTTATTAATTTTCACTATTAACTATTTGATTATTTAAGTTTACTCAGCTCACCTTTTATTAATTCCATGGAGGAGCATTTTGCTTCTCCATGGGAGAATGGAGAAGCATACATTTTGTACATTTTTTTAAATGATTGTTATTAAACATTTTGATTCTAATGATTCTACCGGGGCTTTTCATTATGTGGAATGAATATGTGATTGTTATAATTGTACTCTCCATTTTGCTTCGTTCTACTACAAAGTTTCAAGTATTATTTTATAGTGATAATTACTTTTAATATGTTATAATTATAAGAAAATTTCAATACGGTATAATATTCGAACATGTACAGTTTTAGTTAGACGTTGAATATTTTCAAGTGAATTTTATGCTAAATTTCAGCTTTCCAACGCCTCCTTTTTAATAAATGTTTTCTCCTACAATATCAGAGTGCAGCGCCACATTAAATACGCACTACAATGACAATAGTTTAAAGTGATTTGAAGCATGTTTAATTTTCAAAATAGAAATATGGTTTTGGAGGGGGGGGGCAGAGCTTTGTGACGTCATATTTGAGGGGGGGTCTGACTTTTTGTGACGCCGTGTGACGAGGGGGGAGGGGGGGTCAAAAATCTGCCAAAATCGCGCGACGTCATTTGTGGATGGCACCTCACCGTTGCGCCACCGCTCCCTAACACACACGCAGATAAACACACCTGCTCTGCAAACAAACATTCTCCAAATAAATAATGAAAGACGACAAATTATTCAACGGTTATATTAATGACGCATATTGCAGAATTCGTGTTTATTTACAACTTGCCATAGTTAGAATGCGTAATAATAGAGCCTGTTGCCACCGCTAGGATCATAACAGGAAGCAAACAGAATTAGATGCCCATATAACTTGACCAACACGGCCGAGAGCCTTGGGCCACATGCGTGTCCGTCCACCCATGTCATGAAGAGAGATGTTGCAGTCGGAGTCATTCTGCTGAGACAGGGAAAGTATCCGGCCGCCCAATAGAGGGAGTGGCTCACAAACGGAAAGGTTCTGAGTTCACATCCTGGTTGGAGGGGAGGGGTTTGACTCGGCCCATCATCATCATCACGGATCCGGGGGTTGATAAAAATCATTATCACTTTTTTTTATGGAAGTCAACAGCGATTGTCTGATGTCCACCTCTTGCTCTGGGCTGCGAACGGGAGATAAGCACCAGCAGTGAGATAAGCACCAACAGGGAGATAAGCACCAACAGGGAGATAAGCACCAACAGGGAGACAAGCACCAGCAGTGAGATAAGCACCAGCAGTGAGATAAGCACCAGCAGTGAGATAAGCACCAACAGGGAGATAAGCACCAACGTGACTTTACCAAAAGAACCGAGAATATGAATCACTGCAGTCACGAAAGCTTTAAATAAAAATTTAACATCATCATCGTCACGATCCATGGGCAGAGAGCCCCGTCTTGCGCCAATAGACTCAAGTAGTGCCACCTCTTTGTGCCACCTCTTAGTGCCACCTCTTAGTGCCACCTCTTTGTGCCACCTCTTAGTGCCACCTCTTAGTGCCACCTCTTAGTGCCACCTCTTAGTGCCACCTCTTTGTGCCACATCTTTGTGCCACCTCTTTGTGCCACCTCTTAGTGCCACCTCTTTGTGCCACCTCTTTGTGCCACCTCTTAGTGCCACCTCTTTGTGCCACCTCTTAGTGCCACCTCTTTGTGCCACCTCTTAGTGTCATCTCTTTGTGCCACCTCTTAGTGCCAGCTCGCAGTGCCACCTCTTTGCGCCACCTCTTAGTGCCACCTCTTTGTGCCTCCTCTTAGTGCCACCTCTTTGTGCCACCTCTTAGTGCCACCTCTTTGTGCCACCTCTTTGTGCCACCTCTTTGTGCCACCTCTTTGTGCCACCTCTTTGTGCCACCTCTTAGTGCCACCGCTTAGTGCCACCTCTTAGTGCCACCTCTTAGTGCCACCTCTTAGTGCCACCTCTTTGTGCCACCTCTTTTTGGCACCGATCTCTTCCGATGTCGTCGAGTGTCGGCATGAGAGGTCGGTGCTAAGACAACACCCAGGCCCCTCAATGTAGTCACAGTGTTTCAGTCACAGTGTTTCAGTCACAGTGTTTCAGTCACAGTGTTTCAGGCACAGTGTTTCAGTCACATTGTTTCAGTCACATTGTTTCAGTCACATTGTTTCAGTCACAGTGTTTCAGTCACATTGTTTCAGTCACAGTGTTTCAGTCACATTGTTTCAGTCACATTGTTTCAGTCACAGTGTTTCAGTCACATTGTTTCAGTCACAGTGTTTCAGTCACAGTGTTTCAGTCGCAGTATTTCAGTCACAGTGTTTCAGTCACAGTGTTTCAGTCACAGTGTTTCATTCACAGTGTTTCAGTCACATTGTTTCAGTCACAGTGTTTCAGTCACATTGTTTCAGTCACATTATTTCAGTCACAGTGTTTCAGTCACAGTGTTTCAGTCACAGTGTTTCAGTCACAGTGTTTCAGTCACAGTGTTTCAGTCACAGTGTTTCAGTCAGTGTTTCAGTCACATTGTTTCAATCACAGTGTTTCAGTCACATTGTTTCAGTCACAGTGTTTCCGTCACAGTGTTTCAGTCACAGTGTTTCCGAACACAGACTCTGAATGTGCACAGTAACCCGCGGCCGGACAGTGATTGGTGGTGACGGCTCGGTCCGCAGGTGGACTCCCCAGATCTGCCTCGGCCTGCTCGCTAAGCCGGGACGACGTCGTCTGTGAAGGCCGCACGCTGGAGGTGGCGGTCCACTCAGGCCCCCCCGGAGGCCCGGCCTGCAGGTGAGGAGACGCACACCACAACACCGCCCATTTCATTGTCAGATGTGAGAGGTAAACTCTTGTCAAGGTAAACCTTTTCACTGCCAAACAAATTCACTTGTTTTTCAGATATGAGAAGGAGGCAGATTGTCTGCTTGTCTATTCCGTTACTTAGTTTCTCCACAGCGACACTCGCATTTATTTTCGTGTTGTGTATTATAGAGCTTTGCGTTGGCTGAAACTATTTAACTTGTTAAACTAAATATTCGTGGTTCTTTTGGTAAAGTCACGTAGATAGAAAAGAAACAAAAAAATAAACCCACGACGTTTCGACCGCTGGTGTTGCCATCGAAGCGTCGTGGGTTTTTTGCTTTTGTTTTCGATTTACGTGACTTTACCAAGAATATGAATTCCTGCAGTCAGGTAAGACCCACTGAGCTACGTAGCTCTTTTTGAGAAACGACCTGGCCACAAATGACAGCTCAACGAAGTGGCTTGTCACGTGGAAATGCATAGCAGCCAAATACTCTAAACGTGTGGTGATGTTGCGTCTAAATGTGGAGGGAAAAACCGGAGAACCCGGAGAAAAATCCACGCGACCACGGGGAGAGAGACACGCAAACTCCAAATATCCAGCAGGCGTCATTGTCGTGATCGAACCCACAACCTCTCGCATACCAGGAGAGGGAGTTAACATCTTGTTACCCTGGCAGTCGACACCGTGACTTAGAGACCCACATGTAAAAGAGATGGGTCCTAGCCAAGAGACATCTGGCAAGTTCACCAGCATTTGGTTGAAAGCAAACTTGACTCTGCTGATGGCGTACCAAAACTGTCGAGGCTGGCCAAGAGTTTGCTTGCGTTGAAACAAAACTTGCCGAAAGTCTTCTCTCCCAGGAGGTGGTGTTGCCGGTGAGTCGCGTAAATAAATAGTTTTAAGTTTTCATGTGGAGCGACACAGGTCTACCTACTTTTGTGCTGATTCATTTTCTAAGCAGTGATTTGCAGAGCCGTCCCAAGGGTATATGGTAATTCGGGGCGACTGCCGCAGGCCCCGTGGTTTGGGGCCCCCTCCTCTACTCTTCGACGTCACGGCGTCAGATGCAATGCTTACGGTTTAGATTGAAGTCTTTGGGGGGCCCACAGTGCGATTTGCCCCGAATATAAATTTATTTCTGTTGCCCGTGTCGACAGGACACCACGTTAATTTAATTGAGATAAGCCCACACACACACACTATGTGTGTGTGTGTGGGCTCAATGTTTACACACATGTAGTGTAGCTGTTAGCGTGTTGTGCTACGAACCCGGCGACCCGAGTTCGATTCCTGCTCACGGTCACCAACACCAGTGACGATTATCTGAGCCGGTCCTGGGCCTCCCCTAGGTCGACTCGGCTTCAAATGGGTACCCGGTGCGGTGTGTTAAACATCGCCACTGGGGAGACAAAGGCGACCGGGCGCGGTGTTGTCCACCCCACCCTCTCGTGTGCCGTTCCAGCCTCAAGAGGTGCCGCTCGCTGGCAGCACTTGCCCCAACAGTCTGTTAAGGCTATACCGGAGCGGCGGGGGATCCTTGTCTTTGTGTGGCGCGCAGGCTGAGTGTTGGCGATGGGGCGCAGGCGGTGGCCACTGGGAATGGTGATGTGAAAGGACCCGGCCAGACCCAGCAGCGATGTCCACCACAGGGGGAAGCAGCGCAAATGACAAAGGTGGGGTGGGGTGGGGTGGTGTGGGGTGGTGTGGGGTGGGGTGGGGTGTGGTGTGGTGGGGTGGGGTGGAGTGGGGTAGTGTGGGGTGGTGTGGGGTGATGTGGGGTGGAGTGGGGTGGGGTGGGGTGGGGTGGTGTGGGGTGGGGTGGGGTGTGGTGGGGTGGGGTGGAGTGGGGTGGGGTGGGGTGAGGTGGGGTGGAGTGGGGTGGGGTGGGTGGTGTGGGGTGGGTGGTGTGGGGTGGAGTGGGGTGGTGTGGGGTGGGGTGGAGTGGGGTGGGGTGGGGTGGAGTGGGGTGGGGTGGGGTGGAGTGGGGTGGGGTGGGGTGGGGTGGAGTGGGGTGGTGTGGGGTGGTGTGGGGTGGGGTGGTGTGGGGTGGGGTGGGGTGGTGTGGGGTGGGGTGGGGTGTGGTGGGGTGGGGTGTGGTGGGGTGGGGTGGAGTGGGGTGGGGTGGTGTGGGGTGGGGTGGGGTGGTGTGGGGTGGGGTGGGGTGGGGTGTGGTGGGGTGGTGTGGTGGGGTGGGGTGGAGTGGGGTGGGGTGGGTGGTGTGGGGTGGAGTGGTGTGGTGGGGTGGGGTGGGGTATATCTACCGGGCGGCGCGCCCAAGTCACCTCGGCCTGGCAAATGCCCCGTGCGGCAAAACACGGCAGCCCAAACCCAGCCAGGTCATGAAAGTCATTTAGGTCTTCTTCTTCTTGTTGTCGTGCTGCTGCTGCTGGTAGTGTAGGCGCAGAGCGCCGGCTACAATGTCACGTGCAGGTGGTGAAGCCCACACAGCCAAGTCAGGAGCAGTAGCGGAGGCGTGAATCACCGCTGTGATGTCTCCTTCGGATTTGCGGATCGGGGCGTTGCGTCGTTACACGTTGCACGGTCTCTGTTCTGGATGACCGCGGTCGCACGCTACTGCTGGGAGGGTTTTTAATTTTCCGTTTGTGCATCATCAGGTAACCCGCATCTACTGCCACGGTTTGTGCAGTGGATGCGGTTTAGGGGTTGACCACGAGCTTAGGGGAAGATCAAACCCAGGGATACCCTGCGCTCGGTCTTTCACAACAAGGTTGTGTTTTTTGTCTTTTGAACTCCATTCAGCTCTTCCGAGCTTCATCAGCGGTTGAATTCGCATTTAGGCAGCAGTTAAACATCAAAATGCCGGTGGTGCCACCACGCCCCACCATAATTTCTTTCCTGTGCCAGGTCCTGTCGGTACTCACATGCTCAGTCTCTCAACATCTGGCTTCATCTGGCTTCAGGCCTTTCCCGCCGCTGCCACGGAAAATAAACGAAGAATACTACAAACTATTTTAATTTCACCAGTTAAGGCCCATTGAGATATAGGGCTGTTCTTCAGAGCTCTGTAGCTCAGTATAGTTTGCTTGTCTCTCTCTCTCCCTCTCTACCCGTGGTGGCCACTGCGTGGATTTTCCTCCGGGGTCCTCCGGTTTTTCCCTCCACATTTAGAATCGGCGTCACGCATTTTTTTGGCTGCCGTTATAAATACCCACGTGATGATGGTAAGCCAGCTTCGTCTTTCAGCTATCATCTGTGGCAGCCAGGCCACTTCTGTAAAATAGCTACATAGCAGCTCAGTGGGGCTTTACAAATATCTAAATGTGTGTTGTCTGTGGACGCTCGACGTCCCGCACACATTGGGGCTGCTGCTCGAATGCAGGAATTCAGGACGTCGCGTCGGCCGTGCCAGTAAACAGGTCGTCACTGCCGCACGTCATTTGATCCCCCCCGGAAACTCTGGAACGCTGGCCGGGTGTTTGGACCCCGTCATTACCTCCCTCGGGCGCCCATTCGTCACCCTCTCACACACAGCGGAGCGCTTCTTTCAGAGTTAACGTGACTCCGATGCTGATGAAGTAACCTTTAACGACATAGATATACACGTGCATTACGACACACCGCAGTTTTTTTGATCGCGTGAAGCAACGACGCTTGTTTTCCAAATACGCCGGCCTCCCAGCCACTCTCACACACGACCAGCGCCATGCCCCCTCATCTCGCCATCTCTCATCTCCTGCCATGCCCCCTCCTCTCCTCCTCTTCGTTCCCAATCTTGTCTCTCTGTCCCTCCTTCCCCCTGTGCCCACTCCCCTTGTCTAACCTTGTCCCTCTGCACCGCTACGCTGGAGCGTTCTTCCTTCCGATATCACGAAGCCACTGAGGGGGCATGGCGCTGGTCGTGAAAACGAATTTCTTTAGAACTGCTTCTTGTGTTTAGTTTGTTGTCCTCCCCCCGCATCTCCGATGAGCTACGTACGGTGCGAAAGAAGTTCAACATAACAACAAAGATTCCTCCCCAGTGTAGCCTTAACAGACTGTAGGGGCAAGTGCCGTTAGCGAGCACCTATGAAGGCCGAAACGGTACTCGAGGGGGTGGGTGGCCAGCACCACTCCCGACCGCCTTTGTCTCCCCAGTGGCGATGTTTACACACCGCACCAGGTACTCATTTGAGGCTGAGTCGACCTAGGGGAGGCCCGGGACCGGTTCAGATAATCGTCACTGGTGTTGGCCGTGAGCGGGAATCGAACCCGGGTCGCCAGGTTCACAGCGCAGCGCGCTAACCGCTACACTATCGCTCCCCACACACACATACACACACATACACACACACATACATACACACATATATACACACATTCACACATACATACACACATACATACACACACACACACGTACATACACACATCTACGCATGTAACAGACCAGTATGTCGTGGTGTCCCCCAACTCTCTCGTCATGAGTTGAGCGCCAGGTTCGGCAGCGTCCTTCCCCCGGAGCGGCGAGCCAAGTCGCTCGACCGGCGGACGAGCGAAGCCACAATGACGGTGAGAGGGGTCAGGGGGCAGGGGTCACTCGAGGTGGCATCTGGAAGAGTCGATTGCGCTGGGTGAGACGCGAGCGCTGGATAGCGGGGGCCGCTCGCCAAGAAGGGCATTGGCGGCCAACCAAGAAAACAACCCGTAAATCCAATTGGTGGAACATTGGGGGATGTTTGGTGTTGGGTGGCAGCAGCAGTCACACGGTGCGACATGGCACGAGCTGGAGTGAAGTGGGTGGCGTGAACGGCTACAGTCGTTACGACCTCGTGACCTCTGAATCTATGTCATCGAGATGTTCTGGTACCAGCGATCACGGGCGCCGTGGTGGCTAGGAGATGTTATCTCCCTCGTCCGGTATGCAAGAGGTCTTGGGTTCGATCCCGACCCTGATGACGTCTGCTGTATATTTGGAGTTTGCGTGTCTCTCTCTCTCCCCGTGGTCACGTGGTTTCTTCCCTCCACGTTTAAAATCAACATCACGCGTTTAGAGTAGTTGGCTGCTGCTATAAATTTCCACATGATGTTAAGCCACTTCATTGAGCTATCAATTTGTGGCCAGGTCATTTCTGAATAAGAACTATTTTACAGCTCAGGGGGCCTTACCTGGTAAAATAAAACTAGTTTACTTCATTGTATTCGACCTGCATGTGTGTGTGTTCTAGCCCGACCTATTGAACTTCAAGCAGGGTTGGCTCATGAGACTGGATGAAGATGAGCAGGTACCCGTCAATGTCCACCCTCTTACTCCATCGGTTACAAGTTTCGTGGTCGCTACATATTGGCGGGCAGGGTGGCGGCATAGCGGTTAACGCTCGTGCTGCCTCAGAGCAAGAAGGTCCTGGGTTTGATTCCCGACCCAGGCGCCTGTCTGTGTGGAGGTTTTATGTTCTCTCTTTCCCCCGGTTCTGTGTGGGTTTCGTCCGGGTTCTATGGCTTCCTTCCGTGGATAAACAAATAAGCTGATGTTGAGCGAATATCCTGATGCTGAAAATTACCTTCAAATTACTTGATTGAAATCACACACACACATGCACTTATGCACACCCGCACTTACGAATACCCGCACTTGCAAACACCCGCATTTATGCACACCCGCACTGATAAAGACCCGACTTACGAACACCTGTACTTATGAACATGTGCACTTACGAACACCCACACTGATAAACAACTGACTTACGAAAACCCGTACTTACGAACACCCGCAATTACACACACAACTGCACTGATAAAACCCAACTTACAAGTACCCGTACTTATGAATACCCGCCCTTACGCATACCCACATTGATAAACACCCGACCTACAAACACCCGTAGTTACGAATACCCACACTTACGCACACCCACACTGATAAACACCCGACCTACAAACACCTGCACTTACGAACACCCGCACTGACGAACACCCAACTTACGAACACCCAACTTACGAACACCTGCACTTACGATCACTCGCACTGACGAACACCCAACTTACGAACACCCAACTTACGAACACCTGCCCTTACGATCACTCGCACTGACGAACACCCAACTTACGAATATCCGACTTATGAACACCTGCACTTAAGAACACTCGTATTGACGAACACCCGCACTTACGAACACCCACACTGACGAACACCAGCACTGACGAACATCCGACTTTCGAACACTCGACTTACGAACACGTGCACTTACGAACCCCCGCACTAAAGAAAAAACGCACTTACGAACACCCGCACTTATGAACACCCGACTTGCGAACACCCGCACTTCTGAACCAGCTTTCATGAATTATTTTTTTAACATTGACTAAAAGCGCGGACTCTCACTTGAAAATCGAACCATGGCACTGTTTTGTTCAGCTGAGCGATCTCCACGAGATATAATGAGTCGGCCTCGTGCTGGGAGTGAGTGTTTGTCTGTGTGTGCGGGCAATTAAATACAGTAGATTACCGGGTTCTGACTTGCGAACCGTTTGACTTACGAACGGCTCTCGGGAACGAGTTGCGTTCGTAAATCGAGGACTGCCCGAAATACAACAAGGGGAGAACGGAAACCCCACGCAGAACAAGGGGAGAACGTACAAAGCAACCAACGCAGAAAGGCGTCCCGGGTTGGGAATCGAACCCAGGACCTTGTTTTTGCCGCGAGATAGCACGAGCGTTACCACCGCACCATCATCCACTTGCGTGCTTCTTTACTCTTCCCCCACACACGACATCGCCCTGTTTTCCCCGACTGGGATGTTTTTCCCCGCATTCTCCTCTCCCAGAGAGGCTCACCAGCTCAGAGGACGATTGTGAATTCGCGTCGGCCGTAATGACGAGCGGCGCATCCTGGAGCTTCCCGTTGTGTGATTGCTACGTTGTCTCTCGCCAGTGGCGGAAGCACTGGTTCGTGTTGACTGATGGCAGTCTCAAGTTTTACAAAGACTCCATGGCCGAAGAGGTGAGGTTTCTGAGAGTTGTTTATCTTTTCTGGTATACAGGAGGTCGTGGGTGCAATCCTCACCCTAACGATGCCTTCTGCTGTATGTTTGGATTTTGTGTCTCTCTCCGTGGTCACTTGGATTTTTCTGCAGGTCCTCCGGTTTTTTCCTCCACGTTTAGAATCAACATGCCGTTTAGAGTATTTGGCTCATGCTATAAATATCCACACGATAATAAGCCACTTTGTTGTTGAGCTGTCATTTGTGGGCAGGTCGCTTCTGAAAAATAGCTACATAGTTCAGTGGGCCTTATCTGGTAAAATAAAAATAAAATTGTGAAGTAGATTAGTACTCATCCCCAGCACCCTACTCCCAAGACTATTCCGTGAGATCTCTCAGTGTGTGATCTGGGTCACTCACAAGGCCACTCCCTGAGACCTCTTGGTGTGGTCTGGGTCACTCACAAGGCCACTCCCTGGGACCTCTCTCAGTGTGGTCTGGGTCACTCACAAGGCCTCTCTCTGAGACCTCTCTCAGTGTGGTCTGGGTCACTCACAAGGCCTCTCCCTGAGACCTCTTTCAGTGTGGTCTGGGTCACTCACAAGGCCACTCCCTGAAACCTCTCTCGATGTGGTCTGGGTCACTCACAAGGCCACTCCCTGAGACCTCTCGGTGTGGTCTGGGTCACTCACAAGGCCACTCCCTGAAACCTCTCTCGGTGTGGTCTGGGTCACTCACAAGGCCACTCCCTGAGACCTCTCTCGGTGTGGTCTGGGTCACACACAAGGCCACTCCCTGAGACCTCTCTCGGTGTGGTCTGGGTCACTCACAAGGCCACTCCCTGAAACCTCTTGGTGTGGTCTGGGTCACTCACAGGCTGCGCTTCCTCTGCCCCCAGGCGCTGGACGAGGACGGGGAGATCGATCTGACGGCCTGCCACAACGTCGCACCCCTCGACACGCAGAGGAACTACGGCTTCCAGATCCACGTGAGGGCCGCGACGCTCGTGCTGCGCAGTAAGAAGGGCCTGGGTTCGAATCCCGACCCGGGCACCTCGCTCTGCATCGAATCTTATTCCTTCTATTTACGGGACTCTTTTGCCGGTATAAAAATGATGAAAAGAGAATAGGCTTCACGCTTTCCGGCAATAACGCAGGACGTGTTCAGGTGTTCAAACACCAAACAGACGCCTATTGCTGGAAAGGGTAAAGCCTATTATTTCTTCATCACTTTGATACCGGCAAAAATTGTTCCTATAGATATAACTGCTTGAGCCGAAGAATTAATACTTTTATATTTGCATTGCCCTTTTGCTGTTCACCTTTTGGTGTTCTCTGGTCTAACACCGGTGGTGAGGCAAGGCCATCTAGGAGGCTGTCTCTCGTGCATACAGTGAGGGAAAAAAGTATTTGATCCCCTGCTGATTTTGTACGTTTGCCCACTGACAAAGAAATGATCAGTCTATAATTTTAATGGTAGGTTTATTTGAACAGTGAGAGACAGAATAACAACAAAAAAATCCAGAGAAACGCAAGTCAAAAATGTTATAAATTGATTTGCATTTTAATGAGGGAAATAAGTATTTGACCCCCTCTCAATCAGAAAGATTTCTGGCTCCCAGGTGTCTTTTATACAGGTAACGAGCTGAGATGAGGAGCACACTCTTAAAGGGAGTGCTCCTAATCTCAGCTTGTTACCTGTATAAAAGACACCTGTCCACAGAAGCAATCAATCAGATTCCAAACTCTCCGCCATGGCCAAGACCAAAGAGCTCTCCAAAGATGTCAGGGACAAGATTGTAGACCTACACAAGGCTGGAATGGGCTACAAGACCATTGCCAAGCAGCTTGGTGAGAAGGTGACAACAGTTGGTGCGATTATTCGCAAATGGAAGAAACACAAAAGAACTGTCAATCTTCCTCGGCCAGGGGCTCCATGCAAGATCTCACCTCGTGGAGTTGCAATGATCATGAGAACTGTGAGGAATCAGCCCAGAACTACACGGGAGGATCTTGTCAATGATCTTAAGGCAGCTGGGACCATAGTCACCAAGAAAAGAATTGGTAACACTACGCCGTGAAGTTCTGAAATCCTGCAGCGCCTGCAAGGTCCCCCTGCTCAAAAAAGCACATATACATGCCCGTCTGAAGTTTGCCAATGAACATCTGAATGATTCAGAGGACAACTGGGTGAAAGTGTTGTGGTCAGATGAGGCCAAAATGGAGCTCTTTGGCATCAACTCAACTCGCCGTGTTTGGAGGAGGAGGAATGCTGCCTATGACCCCAAGAACACCATCCCCACCGTCAAACATGGAGGTGGAAAAATTATGCTTTGGGGGTGTTTTTCTGCTAAGAGGACAGGACAACGTCGCCACATCAAAGGGACGATGGACGGGGCCGTGTACCGTCAAATCTTGGGTGAGAACCTCCTTCCCTCAGCCAGGGCATTGAAAATGGGTCGTGGAAGGGTATTCCAGCATGACAATGACCCAAAACACACGGCCAAGGCAACAAAGGAGTGGCTCAAGAAGAAGCACATTAAGGTCCTGGGGTGGCCTAGCCAGTCTCCAGACCTTAATCCCAGAGAAAATCTGTGGAGGGAGCTGAAGTTTCGAGTTGCCAAACGTCAGCCTCGAAACCTTAATGACTTAGAGAAGATCTGCAAAGAGGAGTGAGACGAAATCCCTCCTGAGATGTGTGCAAACCTGGTGGCCAACTACAAGAAACGTCTGACCTCTGTGATTGCCAACAAGGGTTTTGCCACCAAGTACTAAGTCATGTTTTGCAGAGGGGTCAAATACTTATTTCCCTCATTAAAATGCAAATCAATTCATAACATTTTTGACATGCGTTTTTCTGGATTTTTTTGGTGTTATTCTGTCTCTCACTGTTCAAATAAATCTACCATTAAAATTATAGACTGATAATTTCTTTGTCAGTGAGCAAACGTTCAAAATCAGCAGGGGATCAAATACTTTTTTCCCTCACTGTACATTTTTATCAAAGCACGTTTGGTTGCATATTTTAACACAATCATGATGTATAGTTAATGCAGGCTTGACTATGCCTTGTGTCTGTTTGGTGTTCAAACATTTTGACACCTCCTGTATTTTTACCAGAAATAGTGAAGCCTATTTTTTTCCCCATCATATGGGTTGCTTCTGGGTTCTCCAGTTTCCTCTCATAGCTAATATGAAAACATACAACACAATTGGCATCTATGTATGTTGAACTTCTTACCGCACCGTACATATGCGGAGGAAGGACAACCGACCAAACACACAAAGGAAACATCCCACTGCTGGAAAATGACCTCAAATGGAATTCCACAGCAGCAGCGGTAGCAGCAGCATCGCGAGCCTGACTGCCGACGAGACAGTTAAATGTCGAAACCAGCCAAGGGTTTTCCCACGAATGCGTTTCTCGTCGAGAGGAGCGCCACCCACCCCCCTGCCACCGCAGCAGCTGCCGTTGCTCTTCCACAGACCTCGGACGGAGTGTTCACTCTGTCGGCCATGACGGCCGGCATCCGCAGAAACTGGGTGCAGAGTCTGAGCAGCAGCGTCCGCCCTGCCACGTCGCGCCCCCTCGCCAGGTGAGCGTCCTCGCTGTGCTCCCGCCCCCGCGTCACTGTCCGAGGAAGATCGTGTCCATGCTCAAATGTGTGCAGTGCACATGAGATGGGACGCATTCAGTCCATTCTGTGTGCTTGTCTGTATGTACGTACGTTGAACTGCCTTCACACTTGATGTAGCCAAACGTGCTCATCATCTTGTTACTCGTCTTCAGTTTTCATTTCATTTCTTCATTTATTTGGTATAGCCCTGTGAGCCATTCGGCTCTTGAATCCGGTGCAACCGCAACAAACAAAAACATAAACAAGAAACATCTTAAAGTGACTACGTGCAAACAGAAAAATCCAGGAAAAAACAGCAAAGTCTTCCCGAAAAAGCACCGTATATCAATGCCGTGTGCAAAAATCCCAGTGGGATGCAAGTCAAACAATAGCAACCATATGACACTTTAGATTAAAGTTATCACTCTAACTCTGTACTACAACAAACAAATATGGCTAAACCAAAACGTTTTCGAAATCACCAAAATAAAGCTATAAAAGCAATGTAACAGTGATTATAGGAACTGTGATTGACATTTAACAATAAACGATATACATAACATGTACTAACAAACTTTGCAGCCATAGCTGGCTGCATGACTCACTCCATAACAGCAGGAGTATCAGTAGGAGTATCAAAATTTGTCAGTGCACCTTTAAGATCAGCACACTATAATCAAAACTCAAGATCATACTTTACAGCGGTCATCTGGAGCGAAACATTTGATTTCAGGCCACTGAATAGCAGTGGCAGCTAGGGTTGTACAGCTCCTCAAGAGCAGTTTTGAGTGATGATCTCACAGGTAGTGATCCAAGTTGCAGTTTATTGGCGATATCATTCCAGACCCTGGGGGCATCAATAGAAAAGGACCTTCCTCCAGTATTTGTACGGCAATAAGGAATGTGAAGCTGGTAAATAAGCGAAGACCTTAGGTCACATTTGTTCTTCGAAACAGAGAGATCAGCAGGTACATCGTGAATAAATAAGATCTGATGCACAAGCCGTCGAACATTAAGATATGTTAAGTTTGACCCAATGTAGAGATCACAGTGGTGGGTCCTATATGGGCAGTTCAATGCAAATCTTAAGGCCGAGTGATAAATTGAGTTAAGCTTCTTCGGTACAGTACTGGGGGCTGATTTATACACGATGTAACAGTAATCAAGTAGAGGCAGTATGGTAGCTTTTATCAATTCCTAACGGAACATAGGGGAGAAGCAGTGCTTGTGTCGATACAAAAAAAACTATTTTTGTCTTTTTACCAATATAATCAATGTGATCTTCAAAATTCAGTTTTGAATCAAGGATGACCCCAAGATACGTATAGATCTTGACTTGCTCTATTTGATAATTTTTTAAGCAATGTAATTGGGGAAAAATAACTTCCTGCTTTAGTCCTGGTGAGAAGCATAGCACCTTGGTTTTGGAGGTATTCAGGACGAGTTTAAGAGCAACTAGCTGATGTTGTAGTTTGTTGAAATCACCCTGGAGCTTAGCAATCACGTCATCCGGAGAGCGGCCAGTAGTAATCAGTATCGTGTCATCTGCAAAAAGATTTTTCCACAGCGACGCTCATGATTGTTTAGCGTTATGAATCATGATGTAGTTTTGCGTTAAACTAGGGCCAATAGCTCACAGGGAAGTCCTTGTCTATCAGCATTGCTTCAAGCTAGGCCTGAGCTCTGCTGATGAGACGCTGAATGTCTAAAACCTGTCCAGAGTTTGCTCGTGTCTTGAGCCAGTCCTGCTGAGGTGAAGGCTCTCCCACAAGGCCGTGCATTACCGATGGAGGAGGAGGCCCGTCGTCCACTGATGTGCTTTGTAACGCACGGCACAGCATCGTGGCGGAGTGCGGCACAGCCGTGCCAGACACGGCGGCGACGCAGCGCGGAGGGGAACTGCCGCCCCCCGGTCCCTCGTGGCCTCTGATTTCCACCGCCGCCGCCGCCACCACCGCCACCACCGCCACCACCGCCACCACCGCCATTCCCCTCTTCGACCCGACGGGAGGCTGCCGAGGTCACGCGCGGCAGAGACGGAGGGACGGGCGCTCGCGCACGATCGACCTGGCCGACCTGCGGCCCCTGCGCGAGGCGCTGCGCATGCAGAGCCGCCGGCAATGCCGGCAAAGGGCCAAGACGGCGCTCATCCTGCCTCCCGGCATGGCAGCCCTGGCAGGGCCGGGTGAGCGAAGCGGCCTTCCCACCCTACGATCGTAATTGTTGTTTGCGAATGTGATTTGTTAATTTTTAACCTGACACGTGTATCGTTGGTAGTTCAATTGCAACATGAAATGTGATTGAGGGACTGCGTGGTTTTGTTGTTGTATTTGGTGCGGTCTGGCAGGCGAAAGCGTCCCGCTGGCGGCACCGCCCCCGGGGGTCCGAGCGGCGCCCATCGGGGACCCCGGAAGGGATCCGCTCCCTCGGACCCCGGCGGAGACGCCCGGTGGGGGCGGCCCCCACCTCCCCCCCCGCCCCGCGTGGCGTCGACGATGACGAGGAAGAGGGGGCCGGCGCCGAGGGTCCTCCGGACGGCGGAGGGGGGGCCCGGGGGGAGAGGAGTAGCGGTGCGGGATGGGACGGGGGGCCCTCCGCGCCTGGGCCCGGGCACGGCCATGACGAGATCGAACGGCGCTGGGCGCAGGTGACCGGTACCAGCACCGTGTTCGTGCACGTGGAGGCATCGGCGTGGCCGGGCCGGGCAGCTTTCGTTTAACAACCGGAGCCAGGCCCAAAAACGTCAACCGACCGGCAACAAATGACAGCGTTGTGGAAGACGCGATGCACAGAGGCAGCCGAACTCGAGGCTGTCACCTCGCTGAATGAAGTGGCGCCAGTTTTTGGCACTGGCAGACAGTCGAGAAATTGAGAGCAGTTTGTGTGTGTGACTGTGTGTGGGCCTGTGTGTGGGGCTGTATGTGCCTGTGTGTGTGGGGCTGTGCGGTAGTGTAGTGGTTAGCATGCCGCGCTCCGAACTCGGCGACCCGAGTTCAATTCCCAGACCAGTGACGATGATCTAAACCAGCCCTGGGTTTACCCGAGGTCGACTGAGCCTCAATTGAATACCTGGTGTGGTGTATAAACATCGCCACTCGGGAGACAAAGCCGGTCGAGCGTGGTGTGAGCCATCTACCCCCTCGTGTGCTGTGCCAACCCTCGTAGGTGCTGCTCGCTCACCGCACTTGTCCCAACAGTCTGTTAAGGCTCCACGGCGGAGCTTTGTCCTTGGGGATGTGTCACCGTGCTTGCAGGTGGAGACAACCCCTCTGCGGGACGACAAGCAGGTGCCCATCGCCACGCTGGGTGGCGGGCAAGTGCCCATCGTCACGCTGGGTGGTGAGCAAGGGCCCATCGCCACGCTGGGCGGCGGGCAAGGGCCCATCGCCACGCTGGGTGGCGAGCAAGGGCCCATCGCCACGCTGGGTGGCGAGCAAGGGCCCATCGCCACGCTGGCAGGTGAGCAAGGGCCCATCGCCACGCTGGGTGGCGAGCAAGGGCCCATCGCCACGCTGGGTGGCGAGCAAGGGCCCATCGTCACGCTGGCAGGCGGGCAAGGGCCCATCGCCACGCTGGGTGGCGAGCAAGGGCCCATCACCACGCTGGGTGGCGAGCAAGGGCCCATCGCCACGCTGGGTGGCGAGCAAGGGCCCATCGTCACGCTGGGTGGTGAGCAAGGACCCATCGTCACGCTGGGTAGCGAGCAAGGGCCCATCACCACGCTGGGTGGCGAGCAAGGGCCCATCGCCGTGGACTCCCCTGGACTTCCTGCATCTCCTCCTGGTGCCCCCACAGAAGACTTCGTGCAGCTCCTGCAGAACGAGGTGCCGCCCCCTTCGTTGATAGAGAACGAGGTGTCGCTCTCCTCGTTGATACAGAACGAGGTGCTGCCCCCCTCGTTGATACAGAACGAGGTGTCGCTCTCCTCACTGATACAGAACGAGGTGCCGCCCCCTTTGTTGATACAGAACGAGGTGCCGCCCCCCTCGTTGATACAGAACGAGGTGCCGCCCCCTTTGTTGATACAGAACGAGGTGCCGCTCCCCTAGTTGACACACTCACTCACACTTGCTCACACACTCACAGTCTCACACACTCGCTCGCACTCATTCACACTCTCTCTATCTCACACCCACACTCACACACGCTCGCTCACACATTCACTCACACACTTACAGTCTCACACTCACCCACACTCACTCACACACTCACGCTCGCTCACACACTCACTCACACAGTCGCTCACACACTCACAGTCTCACACACTCGCTCGCACTCATTCACACTCTCTCTCACACCCACCCTCACACACTCACGCTCGCTCACACACTCACTCACACTCACTCACACATTCGCTCACACCCGCACTTACTCACACTCACACACTCACTCACACGCTCGCTCACACACGCTCGCTCACACTCTCGTGTCTTCCCCCCCTCCGTCCAGGTGGAAAAGCTGAGGGTGAAGCTGGAGCAGGCGGAACGGGAGCTGCGGAACCTGCGGGTGAGGGCGATAGCACCACTGGCGAGGGAGGTAGCGTCGTGGGCGCTTGAGCGTGGCAATGACGCTCGGTCTGGTGCGGTGCCGCAGGCCGGCCACGAGGAGGAGGCGGAGGAGGCGGTGGCGTGGAGCGAGCCTCTCCCGACGCGACCGTACGGTGCGAACGGCGGGTCCGAGATCCGTCGCCGTGAGGGCGTCCGCTCGCCAGGGCGGGCGACGCGGCGCCGCCGTCACCCTGCCGAGCGGCGCGGCCCCGAGGACGAACCGGCGCTCGCAGCGGAACGGCGCCGCTCGGCCACGGCCGAACGGCACGAGCGGGCGGCGCCGCAAGGGGAGAGCGGGGAGGAGAGCGGGGAGGAGAGCGGGGAGGAGGGGAGGTCGGCAGGGAGCGCCGCGCCGACGGGCGCGGAGACGGAAGCCTCCGGGCCGCCCGCGTGCAGCGCGGAGGCACGGCGGGCGCCCGGCGCGGGCGCGGAAGAGGGGGCGAGGGAGGCCCTCGCGGCGGAGTCCGAGCCGCCGCGGCCCGGCGGCGGAGAGGACGGCGCGGTGGGGGAGGAAGGGAAGGTCCGACGCCACGCCGAGGTGCCGCGCGACGCTCCGAGGGGGCGCGGGGCGCGGAGCGGGGACGTCGAGGGGCGGCGCCGCGGGTGGCCGGGGGACCCGGAGGGCCGAGAGGCCGAGGACGTGGGGGGGGCGGAGCTCGCCCGGCTCGTCCAGGAGCTGCGGCGGCGTCTCGGGGAGGCCCGGACCGAGCTGCGGCGCCGCCCCTCCCCCCACGAGGTGGAGGCGGAGCGCCTCCAGCACCGTGCCGACATCGAGACGCTCAAGGTGACGCGGTCTGCGCACGTGCCGCACGCGTGTGGCACGCGCGTGTGCCACGCGCCACGCATGCTTGGCCCCAGGCGGGGATGGGGGGGAGGGGAGGTCCGTCAGGGGCAACTTGCAAGTAAATTAATCTAAAAACGATCAAAAAATATTTTACCTGCTTGTCACAAATGATAGCTCAACGAAGTGGCTTATCAGCACGTGGAAATTTACTACAGCCAAATACTGGACATTCGCGTCGACTCAGAGAAAAATCCATACGACCAAGGGCACAGAGAGAGACATGCAAACTCCAGATATACAGGCATCAGGGTCAGGATCGAATCCACGACCTCCTGCCTACCAGGCAAGAGAGATATCTTCTTTGTACCGCGAAAGGTTTTTGAAATATACAGAAGGCCTACCTATCAGGGGACCTTTCTGCCAGTATAAAAATATGAATAAAAATAGTCTTACCCTTTCTGGTGTAACCCGCCCGCCCTGTCCCTCTCTTCCCGTGATCGTTAGGAGGGGACAGCCCGGTTAATAAGTAAAAATAACAACAATAATAGTATATAAGTGGATATTCTGCGTTGTGTTCTGCGCTCCTTCTGATAATCGGATAGCTCCGCCACCAAGGGACATCAGAGGGTTGTGTAACTGCAACTCTTTATTTCAAAGTGTTCTTCTGAAGAGCATTCGTGCATCTGTAATTATGACGAGTTGCACACAAATCAACCCAAATTCACACCACCTCACTGCTTAACCCCTGCACTGTACAGTGTCGACCCGAATCTATATAGGTGCCCTGTACCCTGAATTGATTACAGGTGGGCGTGGCCTACTGTGCACTCACATGACTCTATGGGTCCAAACCATGGTCATTAATACTTAACATTCACAATTTAACTTGTGGTTCATTTACATTAAGCCTATAATGGCTACACTGGCAATACAATAGGTGTTCAGATGTTCAAACACCAATGAGAAACCTTTTGCAAGATATCAAGTCTGCATTAACCACACACAGTATTTGTGGTGAAGATGCATGTGGCGGTTATCGTGCTACGCCACAAACATGGCCACCCGAGTTCGTTTCCAACTCACGGCCACCAAGACCAGTGACGATCATTGGAACCATTCCTGGGCCTCCCCTAGGTTGACTCAGCCTCAAATGAGTATACATGGTGGGGTGTGCAGTAAACATCGCCACCGGACGTGGTGCTGCCCACCCCACCCGCCTCGTGCCGGCCTTCACGGGCGCCGCCGCTCGCTAATGGCACTTGCTCCTACAGCCCGCTAAGGCTACACAGGGGACCTTTGCCCTCGTGCGTGTGTGCCCACGCGTGCAGGCCGAGTGCGAGCGGGGCCTGCTGCTCATGGAAGAGTGCCACCGTGGAGCGCTGCGCGAGCTGCAAGAGGCCCAGCGGCAGACGGTGGCGGCGCTGGGCGAGGAGAAGGAGCGGCTGCTGGCGGAGGAGACCGCCGCCACTGCTGCCGGTAGCGACGACGGTGGCAGCGCGGTTGGCACGGGGGGATGTGGGTGGGGGTTACACGTGGGGACGTTGGCACGGGGCTAAGGGATTGGCAGGAGGTGAGCCGTTCACATGGGCGTTTAAGGTTATCTAGCGGCGGGTCAGATGTTAACGGTGGCTAGGAGATGTTAACTACCTCGCCTGGCATGCAAGTGGTCGTGGGTGAGATCCCGACCCTGACGCCTGTACACCTTGACTATCGATGCGGTGGTGGAGGAGGAGGAGGAGGCGGCGTTGAGAGCTGTCGCTTCGCCTTGCCACCCCTCTTTGTTGCAGCGATTGAGGCGATGAAGACGGCCTACCGAGAGGAGCTGGAGAAACTCCGCAAGGGCCGAGGAGGTGTTTCCCGGAGCGTCACGGAGGAGCGTGCGCAGTACGAGTGAGTCCTCCCCTACTGGTATCCGTTACATCTCCAGCTGGGATCCAACCCCCGAGCTGATGTCCAAAAGCTTACATCCGGTATCCAAAAGCTGCAATTTTCATAGGTGCTCGCTAACAGCACTTGCCCCAACTGGGTCTCATGTGACACAGTTGTTGGTAGTGATAGGGGTTGCAGTAGTGATCGTGATAGCGGTAAGGGTAGTGATAGGGGTTGTAGTAGTGATCGTGACAGCGGTAAGGGTAGTGATAGGGGTTGGAGTAGTGTTCGGGCTTGTCGTAGTGATAGTGGTAAGGGCAGTGATAGGGGTGTGATAGGGGTTTGGGTAGTGATAGTAGTTGGAGTAGTGATAGGGGTTGGAGTAGTGTTCGGGGTTGTCGTAGTGATAGTGGTAAGGGCAGTGATAGGGATAGTGATAGGGGTGATGGTAGTAATCGGGGTAGGTCCGGCCGTAGCTGGGCTACATCTTTGCGTCTGCGTGCAGGCAGGACCTGGCCTCGCTGCAGCGGGAGATCGAGGCCTTGTCTGAGCAGTACTCCCACAAGAGCCTGCAGGCCGCGCACCTCCTGCAGGCTCTGGAGGCTGAGAGGGCCGCGCTGCAGCAGAGCCGGCGCGACAACCGCCAGCTCAACGCGCGCAACCAGGTGACGCGGGTGACGGGCGACGGGAGGTGCAGCGGGGAGGACACGAGGGGGGAAAGGGTGCCCCGATTCCCACGGAGCGGTAGCAGCAGGAGCGGCGGTTCGCCATGCCGCGTCACGACGATCCATGCAGGAGGCATCTCCGCGGCCTCTGTGCCTGCGGCTGGGCGAATGTCCTCGGAATTTTCGCTGCGGGGACATTTTCATTGACGAGACGATTTGTCCGTAGATCTGCGCTGTATTTGTTTGACCTGTTGTTACGGTTGGACAATCGTCAAAAATGTGTTACGCGCATCTGTTAACAGTCCCCCAGATTTTGCACGCAATTTGGATGGAAAACATTTAAAGTAGCTGCTGCCCCAAAGTGTTTGTAACCACCACACTCGTCTCATCTCTTGGCATCTCCATCCCGCCATCTCTGTCCTCATTTAAACCGACGGTTAAAATCGGTAAATTTTGTGTCAATGTAATTTTACAACATAATTGCTATTAATATTATCATTCTTTTTTAAAATGTACCTGTAATATTTGAATGATTTGATGTTGACTTTTGGCTGAGTCGCCCTTGAAAAAAGAGCTTCTTAGCTCTACGGCTTTACTTGGTGGAAAATAATCTCCTGATTCTGATCAAATTCTCATTCTGGGCGCTCGAATCAGTGCAGCGGGGACTTGGGAAGCACGACTTCTGTGCAGCATGGATGCTGACACCACTATTAGTGATTATTATTATTCAGAATCAGAATATTTCACTGGAGGAGGAATCCAATGAGCTGCATTTGTCCAGTTGGGGCACGGGGTCAGAACGTTACAACAAACAATAGAAAAACACAATAGGAGTGCTAAGTATAGGAAAGGTAAACAAATCACTGAAAACATTTACAAATAGAGCTACTAAACTATTTATTAGATCTTACCAGGTAAAGCCAACTGAGCTATTAGCTTCTTTTTCAGAGGCGGCCTCTCCACACGTGATGATAGCTCAACGAATTCCCTACCCGACAAACCCAACAACAAAAACGACCTTGAGCTGAAGCACTTCAAGAGAGACCTCGCAATTAATGTAACGAACACGGCGTGAGCAGACAGCGGCGTGCATCAGAGACTGTTCAATGTGAACGTACGTCGTCGTGATTTGACCGAAAGAGGAGGCCGCGGCGCGAGTCGTCCTGGCGCTAAAACACGAGAGTGTTCCGTTGGCAGAAGCTCGGCACTCAGGTGGCGCAAGTGGCACGGGGGGCACAGGAGGAGCGGGCGCCGAGCGAGGCGGCGGAGGGACGCGGCGCCACGCGCAGTAACTTCGAGCTGCAGGTGAGGCCCTCCGTCCTCCTCCCGCACCGGCATCTCCGATTAGCAAGCCTGGCTACGTACGACGCGAAAGAAGTTCAACGTATGTACAGTGATGGAAAAAAAGTATTTGATCCCCTGCTGATTTTGTTACGTTTGCCCACTGACAAAGAAATGATCAGTCTATAATTTTAATGGTAGGTTTATTTGAACAGTGAGAGACAGAATAACAACAACAAAAATCCAGAAAAACGCATGTCAAAAATGTTATACATTTATTTGCATTTTAATGAGGGAAATAATTATTTGACCCCTCTGCAAAACATGACTTAGTACTTGGTGGCAAAACCCTTGTTGGCAATCACAGAGGTCAGACGTTTCTTGTAGTTGGCCACCAGGTTTGCACACATCTCAGGAGGGATTTTGTCCCACTCCTCTTTGCAGATATTCTCCAAGTCATTAAGGTTTCGAGGTTGAGGTTTGGCAACTCGAACCTTCAGCTCCCTCCACAGATTTTCTATGGGATTAAGGTTTGGAGACTAGCTAGGCCACTCCAGGACCTTAATGTGCTTCTTCTTGAGCCACTCCTTTGTTGCCTTGGCCATGTGTTTTGGGTCATTGTCATGCTGGAATACCCATCCACGACCCATTTTCAATGCCCTGGCTGAGGGAAGGAGATTCTCACCCAAGTTTTGACGGTACATGGCCCCGTCCATCGTCCCTTTGATGCGGTGAAGTTGTCCTGTCCCCTTAGCAGAAAAACACCGCCAAAGCATAATGTTTCCACCTCCATGTTTGACGGTGGGGATGGTGTTCTTGGGGTCATAGGCAGCATTCCTCCTCCTCCAAACACGGCAAGTTGAGTTGATGCCAAAGAGCTCCATTTTGGTCTCATCTGACCACAACACTTTCACCCAGTTGTCCTCTGAATCATTCAGATGTTCATTGGCAAACTTCAGACGGGCATGTATATATGTGCTTTCTTGAGCAGGGGGACCTTGCGGGCGCTGCAGGATTTCAGTCCTTCACGGCGTAGTGTGTTACCAATTGTTTTCTTGGTGACTATGGTCCCAGCGTCATCGTCCAAATGTTTAAAATGCACCGGCGAATGACTAAGTTAGGGTTACACTAGAATAAAAATATTATATTGAGCTATGTAGCTCTTTTCCAGAAGCGACCTGGCCATAAATGATAGCTCAATAAAAGCGGCTTATCATCATGTGGAAATCTATAGCAGCCAAACACTCTAAACGCGCGTTGATTCTAAGTGTGGAGGGAAAATCCGCAGGACTCGAAGGAAAAATCCACGCGACCACGGGGAGAATGTGCCAAATATACATATAGGCGTCGTCAGGGTCGGGATCGAACCCACAACCTCCTTCATACCAGGCGATGGAGATCACGCCTCGCCAACACGGCGCCCCTACACGTAGCAACGTCGCCCCCTTCTGGCACATTGCCTACACGACAGCCAATGGCGCAATATCATAGGCACTACACTTTTAATGCTTGCCAGAATTACAACTTTAAAAAAAGAGAGCGTGAGTAGTCCATTAGCTGTGCCATCATATTGGATGCCAGCGTCTGCTGGATTTAGGGCCGTCCATAGGGGGTAGGGGTGCGGGGCCCCCCAGGGCAAATCCCACCGTGTGGGTACCCCCCAAACGAAAATGAGTAAATCTGTCGCCGTGACGTCAAAGCACGGGGGCCCCCCAAAGCCCAGAGGCAGCCGCCCCGATTCGCCGCACCCCAGGGAGCGGTTCTCGCGATGTGACATCGGAATACACCGTTAGCTGTCGCCCTAACTCCTTCGGAATGCATTTAACCCGTCACACTCGAGCGCCACGGTCGCAACGTCCCCGGTTAAACGACGTTGCTGCCGTTGCCGCACGCAGGTCGCTCTGCGCGTGAAGGAGTCCGAGATCGAGTTCCTCAAGCAGGAGCTGCGCTCGCTCAGAGAGGAGCTCCACACGGCTCAGAGGGTACGCGACGCTCGCGATCGTGCCGCGTCACCCGCTTCAGCCCTCGGTGTTTTACTTCGCGCGCGCAGGAGCCAATATGCGTGCGGCGAGGACTCGCTCAGACGCGCGCTCCTTCCATCGCAACGCGCGCCGTTGTGACGCAGTTCGTGAGCGGTCGACGACGGACTACTCTCTTGAGCTGCGGCAGCTCAGCGGCACGGTGAGATAGTACGGGGAACGCGAGAGTCAAGGCGGCAGTGCCGGTGCAGCCTCGGCTATTTCTCCTGCCGTCTCACTCCGCGGTGTGTGTAGGAGCACGCCGTGTCTCGCCAAACTTTGTCGTCGTTCCATCACTCGCGGGGAAATTGTTTTCGCTTAACGGAGCACTTTCGAGGACCGTACCTGCCTGTACGTATGTTGAACTTCTTTCGCACCGTCCGTAGCCAACCATGCTAATCCGAGGTGCGGGACAGGACAACAAACTAATACAAAAAGCAGTTCTTAAGAAATTAGTTTTCAATCGAGATGATGTAATAGTGCATAGCTCCAGTGGCTTCATAATATCGGAAGGAAGAGCGTTCCAGACGGCTGGAGAAGCGCATCTGAAATCGCCGCGCGACGCGGTGACCGTCTTTGTTTCGATGGCAGAGCCAAAAGCCACAAAATCCACTGCGCCTACTACCAGCGTGTTAGAACGCGGACTGCGGCAGATCGATGAGCACGGTCGGCTCCGCACGCTGCCAAAGAAGTTCAGCGTACAGGGAGGAGAAGTTGCTTTGCGTAACCCCTGGTGACGGGCGTCCGGTAGTAGCGACCGTCGCGGCCGCCTAACGGGCCGGGCCGCATGCCCCCGCAGGACAAGAAGCTCGCCGCCCACCGCTACAAGGACATGTACCGTGAGATGAGCCTGGCGCGCGCGCACGCCCAGCGCGACTCGCGCCTGCTGCAGGAGAAGCTGCGTCGACTCACGCAGCAGCAGCAGCTGGCGGCGCCGGGCGTCGACCGCCGCGGACACGCACAGCCGCCACACGGTGAGGGCCGACGCGACGCTGGCGCCTTGGGGGGTCAGTGAACTGGCGCCTTGTGGGGCAGTGAACTGGCGCCTTGTGGGGTCAGTGAACTGGCGCCTTGTGGGGTCAGTGAGCTGGCACCTTGTGGGGCAGTGACCTGGCGCCTTGTGGGTCAGTGAGCTGGCGCCTTGTGGGTCAGTTTACTGGCGCCTTGTGGGGCAGTGAACTGGCGCCTTGTGGGTCAGTTTACTGGCGCCTTTTGGGGCAGTGAACTGGCGCCTTGTGGGGCAATGAGCTGGCGCCTTGTGGGTCAGTTTACTGGCGCCTTGTGGGGCAGTGAGCTGGCGCCTTGTGGGTCAGTGAGCTGGCGCCTTGTGGAGTCAGTGAACTGGCGCCTTGCGGGGTCTGTTTACTGGCGCCTTGTGGGTCAGTTTACTGGCGCCTTGCGGGGTCAGTTTACTGGCGCCTTGTGGGTCAGTTTACTGGCGTCTTGCGGGGTCAGTGAACTGGCACCTTGTGGGTCAGTTTACTGGCGCCTTGGGGGTCAGTTTACTGGCGCCTTGTGGGTCAGTTTACTGGCGCCTTGCGGGGTCAGTTTACTGGCGCCTTGTGGGGTCAGTTTACTGGCGCCTTGTGGGTCAGTTTACTGGCGCCTTGTGGGTCAGTTTACTGGCGCCTTGCGGGGTCAGTTTACTGGCGCCTTGTGGGGTCAGTGAACTGGCGCCTTGTGGGGTCAGTGAACTGGCGCCTTGTGGGGTCAGTGAGCTGGCGCCTTGTGGGGTCAGTTTACTGGCGCCTTGGGGGTCAGTGAGCTGGCGCCTTGTGGGGTCAGTTTACTGGCACCTTGTGGGGACGCTGCCGCGCGGACCTAAAAAACTCTGTCTCTTGTCGACCGTCGTTCCAGATGTCCTGAAGTCACGGAGTAACCCGGAGGGTTTGCGTGCTGGACTTGCATCCGTTAGTCAGCGTCTCAAGGTACTTGCATTCGTTCTGTGTGTGCGTGCGTGTGTCTGTGTGTGCTTGTGCATGAAAATATATTTTTTTACCAGGTAAGGCCCACTGAGCTATGTAGTTTTTTTTTTCTCAGAAGTAACCTGGCTATCACAGATGATAGCGCAATGAAGTGGCTTATCACGTGAAAATTCATAGCAGCCAAATACTCTGAACACAGAAAAATTCACGTGACCACAGGGTGAAGGTCGGGATGAAACCCACTACCTCCTATTTACCAGGCGAGGTAGTTAGTATTTTGCCACTGGCGCTCGTGGGGAACGGTAGTGTAGCGGTTAGCGCGATTCACTACGAGCCTGCCGACCTCGGTTCGATTTCCGCTCACAGCCAACATTAGTGAGGAGTTTCCGAACCGGTCCTGGGTCGACTGAGCCTTAATTAAGTACTTGGTCCGATGTGTCAACATCAGCGTTGGGGAGATAGAAGGCGGCCAAGCATATCGCTGGCCACCCACCTCCTTCATGTGCCGTGCCGGCTTTAGGAGGTCCTGCTCGTTCACGGTGCTTGCTCCGACAGTCTGTTAAGGCTACGCGGGGATCTTTGTCCTTGTTTGTCTTTTGTGTGCGCGCGTGCCTCTGGGTAATGTGCAGGCTGAGTCGGAGGGCTTCCCGCTGGGCGATAAAACCCAGAAGACGCCCGTGTGACTGCACCGCCAACGTGTGACAAGACCCGATCGATTTGCGCACTCAACTTTTCATTTGCACGTCATCATAAAAAAATATTTGCATTTATTTGACCTTTAAATTGGCCCGGCAACACATGCCGCACAGTATCGCCGTCTCACAAATTTGAAGGCACCCTCAGCGGCAGCTGTCCCTGTGCAGCCAGTCGGTGCCTGCGATCGCTGCTGCTCTCCGTGAGTGTCATTTGCGATCTGATTTTTCGCAACGACGAGCAGCGAAAGTGCCAAAACTTACTGCCGCTTCGGCCGAACGGCTCAAACTAAAAACTAAACAGATTTTGTATTTGGCCAGGTAAGGCCCCCTGAGCTATATAGCTGTTTTTCAGAAGTGACCTCGCCGCAGAAGGATAGCTCAACGAAGTGGCTTTTCGTGTGGAAATTTATAGCAGCAGCCGGATGCTCTAAACGCGTGTTGATTCTAAATGTGGAGGGGAAAACCGGAGGAGCCGGAGAAAAATCCGTGAGACCACGGGGGAGAGAGATACGCAAACACCAAATATACAGCAGCAGGCATCGTCAGCACCAGGATCGAACTCACGACCTCCTGCATACCAGGCAAGGGAGTTATCATCTAACCACCGCAGTTAAACTTCCTCCGCGCGCGAGCGAGCGCAATTTCGGCGCTCCAGGCCACCGTGGGCATCTCCGGAGCCCCTCAGAGGTCGAGCCAGAGCCTAGGCGTCTCTCTCTCTCTCTCGTCCTCACCGACTACGCAGGGGCCACCTCCCCCACTCCGCCTCCTCCTCCGTCGCGTCCCCGACAGACTCCTCCGGCTTCGCGAGCGTATTGAACGTCGCGCTTTTTGAACAAGCGGTAATTTTGTTGTTGTTGTTGCCGCTGTTCATTCGCACCCCTGATATTTACTCAAACGGAACGTGGGAGCTGGCGATGCGAGCGAAGCGGCGAACGTCGGATCTGCACTTTAAGCGACGCGCCGGGATGACTGCGAACGTGTCCCAGGAACGCGCCTGCTGCCGCACGTTGGCTCTGCTCTTTAAAGTCCAGCGTGGCCCGTGGCAAGTCCGCATTGGCTGCGCACGTGTCACGCGACACCATGGATGCCCTTGTCCTTCCCCCCCCCCGCACCTCCCTTTAGCGTGGTTGGCTACGTACGGTGTGGCGAATTGCCCGATGATGCTGGATGTAATTACCAGCGAAACGTCGTACTCAAACTGTAAATGTTGTGGATTCACTCTTCAACACACCGGTGGGCTAAAGTAGTGAACTATTTGTCTTTTGTCAACGTGACATTTTTTTGCTGATTGGCCGTGTCGGGTGGTGGAGGGTTACGACACATTTATAAATAACGCGATCTAACCCAAAAACCTTTATTATGAATAATATTGGTCGCGAAAACCTGCGTGTTAAACTGGTATGAAAGAAGTTCAACGCACGTACGTACAAACGAGATGCTCCGTCTAGACGGATTTTTAAGTGGAATATTTTAATTCGTTAAACGAATGGCAACGTGACACTGGGCGCTCACTTGTTAATTCTGGGAATTGTGTGGCTCGAGTCCAGCGGGGAGGGAGAGATTGTTCCAGACTGAACGTTGCAATGACGCACGATGGAACGAGGCCGCGTGTTTGTATCCAGGTAGCTTGAAACTCCCGAGGACTGAAGTTTCCGAGATAGTTATTCAGGTCAAACTAATTTATATTTCAGCAAAGACAAAGAAGTGGGGGGGGGGGCATGTCTTATTTATCCAATGCTGTAATACCTTCCCGTCCTGAAAGGCTGGTGAATAAAGCATGGTATCGGCAGTGCAATATATAAATATGATGAAGATGAGTCAAGACGAGAGGAGGCATGTTTATTCGTGTGTTTTACATTTCATTGAACATATTTACAGAGAATACACAATAAATATAATCGTACAATATTGTAAGCGGCTGGAAATCGGTCTTATTTGCAGGGATACGTAGATGTCGTTGAACTTCTTTCGCACCGTACATAGCCAACCGTGCTAATTGGAGGTGCGGAGGCAGGACAACAAACTAAACACAAAAGCTGTTCTGAATAAAACACATTCCTGCGGAGAGAGCTGGTAGGAACGTTGGGTTGCTCGGTCAATGGCCAGGGTCAACGGCGGCACGTGGTGCAGTGTTGAGTCTATGGGCAGTGTTGAGTCTATGGGCAGTGCTGAGTCTATGGTGCAGTGTTGAGTCTATGGGCAGTGTTGAGTCTATGGTGCAGTGTTGAGTCTATGGGTAGTGTTTAGTCTATGGGTAGTGTTGAGTCTATGGGTAGTGTTGAATCTATGGGTAGCAGTGCTGAGTCTATGGGTAGTGCTGAGTCTATTGTGCAGTGCTGAGTCTATGGTGCAGTGCTGAGTCTATGGTGCAGTGCTGAGTCTATGGTGCAGTGCTGAGTCTATGGGTAGTGTTGAGTCTATGGGTAGCAGTGCTGAGTCTATGGTGCAGTGCTGAGTCTATGGTGCAGTGCTGAGACTATGGGCAGTGCTGAGTCTATGGTGCAGTGTTGAGTCTATGGTGCAGTGCTGAGTCTATGGTGCAGTGCTGAGTCTATGGGTAGTGTTGAGTCTATGGGTAGCAGTGCTGAGTCTATGGTGCAGTGCTGAGTCTATGGTGCAGTGCTGAGTCTATGGGCAGTGCTGAGTCTATTGTACAGTGTTGAGTCTATTGTGCAGTGCTGAGTCTATGGTGCAGTGCTGAGTCTATGGGCAGTGTTGAGTCTATGGTGCAGTGCTGAGTCTATGGTGCAGTACTGAGTCTATGGTGCAGTGTTGAGTCTATGGTGCAGTGCTGAGTCTATGGTGCAGTGCTGAGTCTATGGGCAGTGCTGAGTCTATGGTGCAGTGCTGAGTCTATGGTGCAGTGCTGAGTCTATGGTGCAGTGTTGAGTCTATGGTGCAGTACTGAGTCTATGGGCAGTGCTGAATCTATGGTGCAGTGCTGAGTCTATGGGCAGTGCTGAGTCTATGGTGCAGTGTTGAGTCTATGGTGCAGTGCTGAGTCTATGGTGCAGTGCTGAGTCTATGGGCAGTGCTGAGTCTATGGTGCAGTGTTGAGTCTATGGTGCAGTGCTGAGTCTATGGGTAGTGTTGAGTCTATGGGCAGTGCTGAGTCTGGAAGTTGATTCCAGTGGAGGGCTGCAAGGAGGGAGAAGGACCGAACACGGGGACTGGGCACAGGGAGGAGGAGGGACAGAGAGAAGATTGGGCACGAAGAGGACGAGAGGAGGAGACACGGAGGGAGATGAGAGAGGCGAGATGAGGTGGGGGGTGGCCATGAAGGGATGTGAGGACTGGCGTCTGGGATGTGAAAAGGCCGCTTTGTCCTAAACGGGTAGCCAGGGGAGTTGGAGGAATCGGAGTGCTGTGTGTCGGGTGGCAGCAGGAGTTGATTTCAGAATCCAGATTGGTAGTGCCGAGAGGAGGGCGCCACCGGTGCTGCTGCTGTGCTAGAACTTTGTTGGGGGGCACCGCTGGCTGGCAACCACAACCCCCCCCCCCCCCCCCCCAGAATGGACGGATCGAGTACTACGCCTGGGCACCACTCAGCTCGCGAGTCGCGGGCATGCACTAACATCCGAGTGCAGTCATTAGCCCACACAGCAACCTCGTTACCACCTGGCCGGGGCGGTGGTGGTGCGGTGGTTAACGCTCAGCAGCTAGAAGTGCCTGGGTTGGATTCCCGACTGCGGGAGCCCGTGGTGCGTTCTGCTGCTGCTGCTCTGCGCGGGGTTCCTCCCATATATGTTGATGTCACGTGTCGCGTTGCTATGGGGGGGGGGGGGTGTTGCTCGAAACGTCGCCAGTTCTATACTTTTCACACCCACGCCGCTATTGACGACCGCGTTAATAAAGGGTTGCGGCGACGTCACGTGGGTGCTGCCCCGCTCGAGCCGGCACCCACGTGGGCGGCGCGGGCTCCCGGCATGCCCCGCGGCTCGGGGTCAGATCCTCCCACAATGCAGCGCGGTGCCCGGCATCGCCGCCGCCGCCTCCTCGGAGAGAATCGCGAATAGAGACGGAGAACAGAGAGACAGAGAGGGACAGAGGGAACAAGAGACGCGTTCTCTCCATCTCTCACGCGGGAGGGAGAGGGGTCGCGCTCATCCCCACAGGGCTCGCTCGCTCTCGCTTCCGCTGCGTGATGCTGCTCCTCCATCGTGTCGCGTGTGTCGGAGAGCTCTGGGCTGTGTAGCTCCCACCCCTCTCTCTCGCTTCCTCTCTCTCTTGTCTCTCTCTTGACTCTGTGTGTGTGTGCTCGCGTCTCCTCCTCGCGAACGTAGCGGCGAGCTGCGCTGCGATCAGGAACCCGGCAGAGACTACCCGAGTTCGATTCCCGGCTCACGGACACTGACAGCGGTGACTGCGATTTGTCTGAACCGGTCCTGGGGCCTCCTCCCCTAGGTCGACTCGGCCTCAAATGAGAACCTGGTTGCGGTGTGTAAAAGAATAAAACAAATCCCATCGCCGCTGGGGAGACAAAGGCGGTCGTGCGTGGTGCTCGCCACATCACCGCCGTCCGCGTGCCGCTGTTCCTCCCGTTCGTAGGTGCTGCGCCTCGCAAACGGCGCTCGCCCCCAACGTTCTGTTGGAGGCTATCAGGGGGACCTTTGTCTTTGGCCCCGGCTCTCCATCCCCTTCCCGGCTCTCTCCATCCCCTTCCCGGCTCTCTCCATCCCCTTCCCGGCTCTCTCCATCCCCTTCCCGGCTCTCTCCATCCCCTTCCCGGCTCTCTCCACCGCTAGACAGCTCCTCGCTCCCTCCCCCGAGCCCCGCGTCTCACCCACCCGAACCCCCCGACATCTTCTGCGTCTCCTTCGCTCCGTCTCTGTCACGTCGCCTGCTACGGACGCTCTGCCGCTCATGCGACGAGGGGTTCGTCACGGGGCGCGGACAGAGTCGCAGTCGGACAGAGTCGCAGTCGGACAGAGTCGCAGTCGGACAGAGTCGCAGTCGGACAGAGTCGCAGTCGGACAGAGTCGCAGTCGGACAGAGTCGCAGTCGGACAGAGTCGCAGTCGGACAGAGTCGCAGTCGGACAGAGTTGGAGCTATAGTCACATTCAGACGTACACTCACACAGTCGGACACATGTACAGCAGACACAGAAGCTACGTTCATACCGGGCTACAGGCAGACGCAGCGCCTACAGCCGGACAGCTATAGTCGTACAGTCAGACGCAGCTAGTCAAGTCGGCGACAAAGACAAAGGTCCCCCGTGTAGCCTTAACGGATACGTTGGGGCAAGTGCTACTCGAGTCACTCTCACACCCACGCGCTGTATATGCCGCTGCCGGTGCTGAGACCGAGGCGGAGCTGGGCCGAAGAGGAGGTGGAGAGGAAGAGGAGGTGGTGACGAGGAGGCGGAAAGAGGTGTTGAAGAGGAAGAGGTGGTGGAGGAGGTGGAGAGGAAGAGGTGACGAGGAGGAGGAGGGGTGGTGATGAGCGGCCAGAGTGGATGCGCGCACGTGTGCGTCCTCAAGGCGGAGCAGGCACAATGGAGGCAGCAGCTGCGAGTGATCTACCAGTGGTTCGTGTGGAGCGCCACGGGGGAGGCGCGGCGCAGGAAGGTGAGGAGGTGGAGGAGGTGGTGGTGAAGGAGGAGGTGGTGGTGAAGGAGGTGGTGGAGGTGTAGGAGGAGGAGGTGGTGGTGGAGGTGGTGGTGGTTGTGGTGGAGGAGGAGGTGGTGGTGTAGCAGGTGATGTTGGAGCAGGTGGTGGAGTTGTAGGAGGAGGTGGTGGTGGAGGAGGTGTAGGAGGAGGTGGTGGTGGAGGAGGAGGTGGTGGTGGAGGAGGTGGTGGTGGAGGTGGTGGTGGAGGAGGTGGTGGTGGAGGAGGTGGTGGTGGTGGAGAAGGTGGTGGAGGAGGAGGTGGTGGTGGAGGAGGTGGTGGTGGTGGAGAAGGTGGTGGAGGAGGAGGTGGTGGTGGAGGAGGTGGTGGCGGAGGAGGTGGTGGTGGAGGAGGTGGTGGAGGAGGTGGTGGTGGAGGAGGTGGTGGTGGAGGAGGTGGTGGAGGAGGTGGTGGTGGAGGAGGTGGTGGAGAAGGTGGTGGAGGAGGTGGTGGTGGAGGAGGTGGTGGAGGAGGAGGTGGTGGAGGAGGTGGTGGTGGAGGAGGTGGTGGTGGAGGAGGTGGTGGTGGAGGAGGTGGTGGAGGAGATGGTAGAGGAGGTGGTGGTGGTGGAGGTGGTGGTGGTGGAGGAGGTGGTGGTGGTGGCGGAGGTGGTGGTGGAGGAGGTGGTGGTGGAGGATGTGGTGGTGGAGGAGGAGGAGGAGGTGGTGGTGGAGGAGGAGTAGGAGGTGGTGGTGATCTTGATTTGAAGCTTTCGTGACTGCAGGAATCCATACTGTTTTGTTCTTTCGGTAAAGTCACGTAGTAGGTATAAAATAAAATAAACGACGTTTCGGGCGCAACGCAAGAGTCCGTTATCAGGTGGGAAAGCGTGGCCTGCTGCTGCTGAGGCAGACTGTTTTAAAAGGTTTGAAATGGGTGTAGCCCAAGGGTCAGAAAGAAGTGGGCGGGGCTAGTGATGTTAATGTGAAAAATTAGCATGATAATGTGAGAGATTAGCGTGATGTTAATGTAAGAACGAAGAGTGGTTCAATCCAAAGGCATGTGAGCATGAGAGTGCAATGCAAAGGACATGTGAGCATTAGAAGATCTAAGAGCGAGGCATAGAGAGAGAGACAGATAGTCGGAAATAACAGCTGACATGGGCAGGTAGGATGGACACATCACAGTCAGTTAAGACTTTACCTGCTTAATAATGTCCTTCCAATGATTGCTCAGTTTGTACCCATCTTCTCGGTTGAAGTTGTCTGTGTTTATATATCTGGATGGCTTCATGAACAAATCTCTGAAGGTAGCCGGTAGGTTTTCAGAGTACCTCCGTCTTGGAAAAATCAATTTCGTGTGAGCCCACAGCGTTAAAACAATGATCAGCAACGGCAGAGGTATTGGTCCTACCGTCTTTGAGATCTGCCTTGTGTTCACGGACGCGGTCCGAGACTTGTCGTTTCGTTTCCCCAATGTTACTGCTGCCGCAAACACAACTCAGTTTGTAGACACCAGGGTATTCCATCTCAGAAATCACATCCTTTACAGATGGTAAGGCAGTGCCTTACTAAAGTTGGTAAATCTGAATTCAATCCTTGTGTCTGAATGTAGATGTGTTTGTCCCCCTGGGAGTGTCTGAATGTAGATGTGTTTGTCCGTCTGTCAGTGTCTGAATGTGGATGTGTTTGTCCGTCTGTGAGTGTCTGAATGTAGATGTGTTTGTCTCTCTGAGTGTCTGAATGTAGATGTGTTTGTCCCCTGTGAGTGTCTGAATGTAGATGTGTTTGTCCCCCTGTGAGTGTCTGAATGTAGATGCGTTTGTCCCCCTGTGAGTGTCTGAATGTAGATGTGTTTGTCCCCCTGTGGGTGTCTGAATGTAGATGTGTTTGTCCCCTGTGAGTGTCTGAATGTAGATGTGTGTGTACCCCTGTGAGTGTCTGAATGTAGATGTGTTTGTCCCCCTGTGAGTGTCTGAATGTAGATGTGTTTGTCCCCCTGTGGGTGTCTGAATGTAGATGTGTTTGTCCCCCTGTGAGTGTCTGAATGTAGATGTGTTTGTCCCCTGTGAGTGTCTGAATGTAGATGTGTTTGTCCCCTGTGAGTGTCTGAATGTAGATGTGTTTGTCTGTCTGTGAGTGTCTGAATGTAGATGTGTTTGTCCCCCTGTGAGTGTCTGAATGTAGATGTGTTTGTCCCCTGTGAGTGTCTGAATGTAGATGTGTTTGTCCCCTGTGAGTGTCTGAATGTAGATGTGTTTGTCCCCCTGTGGGTGTCTGAATGTAGATGTGTTTGTCTGTCTGTGAGTGTCTGAATGTAGATGTGTTTGGCCCCCTGTGAGTGTCTGAATGTAGATGTGTTTGTCTGTCTGTGAGTGTGTGAATGTAGATGTGTTTGTCTGTGAGTGTGTGAATGTAGATGTGTCTGTCTGTGAGTGTGTGAATGTAGATGTGTTTGTCCCCTGTGAGTGTCTGAATGTAGATGTGTTTGTCCCCTGTGAGTGTCTGAATGTAGATGTGTTTGTCTCTCTGAGTGTCTGAATGTAGATGTGTTTGTCCCCCTGTGAGTGTCTGAATGTAGATGTGTTTGTCTCTGTGAGTGTCTGAATGTAGATGTGTTTGTCCCCCTGTGAGTGTCTGAATGTAGATGTGTTTGTCCCCTGTGAGTGTCTGAATGTAGATGTGTTTGTCTCTCTGAGTGTCTGAATGTAGATGTGTGTGTACCCCTGTGAGTGTCTGAATGTAGATGTGTGTGTCTGTATGTGAGTGTCTGAATGTAGATGTGTTTGTCTGTGAGTGTCTGAATGTAGATGTGTTTGTCTGTCTGTGAGTGTCTGAATGTAGATGTGTTTGTCTGTCTGTGAGTGTCTGAATGTAGATGTGTTTGTCTGTCTGTGAGTGTCTGAATGTAGATGTGTTTGTCCCCTGTGGGTGTCTGAATGTAGATGTGTTTGTCCCCTGTGGGTGTCTGAATGTAGATGTGTTTGTCCCCTGTGGGTGTCTGAATGTAGATGTCTTTGTCCCCTGTGAGTGTCTGAATGTAGATGTGTTTGTCCCCTGTGAGTGTCTGAATGTAGATGTGTTTGTCCCCTGTGGGTATCTGAATGTAGATGCGTTTGTTCCCTGTGAGTGTCTGAATGTAGATGTGTTTGTCCGTCTCTGAGAGTCTGAATGTAGATGTGTTTGTCTGTCTGTGAGTGTCTGAATGTAGATGTGTCTGTCTGACTGTCTGAATGTAGATGTGTTTGTCCCCTGTGAGTGTCTGAATGTAGATGTGTTTTTCCCCTGTGAGTGTCTGAATGTAGATGTGCTTTTCCCCCTGTGAGTGTCTGAATGTAGATGTGTCTGTCTGAGTGTCTGAATGTAGATGCGTTTTCCCCCTGTGAGTGTCTGAATGTTGATGTGTTTGTCCCCTGTGAGTGTCTGAATGTAGATGTGTTTGTCCCCCTGTGAGTGTCTGAATGTAGATGTGTTTGTCTCTCTGTGAGTGTCTGAATGTAGATGTGTTTGTCCCCTGTGGCTGTCTGAATGTAGATGTGTTTGTCCCCTGTGGGTGTCTGAATGTAGATGTGTTTGTGCCCTGTGGGTGTCTGAATGTAGATTTGTTTGTCCCCTGTGAGTGTCTGAATGTAGATGTGTTTGTCCCCTGTGGGTGTCTGAATGTAGATGCGTTTGTGCCCTGTGAGTGTCTGAATGTAGATGTGTTTGTCCATCTCTGAGTGTCTGAATGTAGATGTGTGTGTCTGTCTGTGAGTGTCTGAATGTAGATGTGTCTGTCTGAGTGTCTGAATGTAGATGTGTTTGTCCCCTGTGAGTGTCTGAATGTAGATGTGTTTTGCCCCTATGAGTGTGTGAATGTAGATGTGCTTTTCCCCCTGTGAGTGTCTGAATGTAGATGTGTCTGTCTGAGTGTCTGAATGTAGATGTTTTTTTCCCCCTGTGAGTGTCTGAATGTTGATGTGTTTATCTGTCTGAGTGTCTGAATGTAGATGTGTGTGTACCCCTGTGGGTGTCTGAATGTAGATGCGTTTGTGCCCTGTGAGTGTCTGAATGTAGATGTGTTTGTCTGTCTGTGAGTGTCTGAATGTAGATGTGTTTGTCTCTCTGAGTGTCTGAATGTAGATGTGTGTGTACCCCTGTGGGTGTCTGAATGTAGATGCGTTTGTGCCCTGTGAGTGTCTGAATGTAGATGTGTTTGTCTGTCTGTGAGTGTCTGAATGTAGATGTGTTTGTCCTCTGTGAGTGTCTGAATGTAGATGTGTTTGTCTGTCTGTGAGTGTGTGAATGTAGATGTGTTTGTCTGTCTGTGAGTGTGTGAATGTAGATGTGTTTGTCTGTCTGTGAGTGTCTGAATGTAGATGTGTTTGTCCCCTGTGAGTGTCTGAATGTAGATGTGTTTGTCCCCTGTGAGTGTCTGAATGTAGATGTGTTTTTTCCCCCTGTGGGTATCTGAATGTAGATGTGTTTGTCCCCTGTGGGTGTCTGAATGTAGATGTGTTTGTCCCCTGTGGCTGTCTGAATGTAGATGTGTTTGTCCCCTGTGGGTGTCTGAATGTAGATGTGTTTGTCCCCTGTGGGTGTCTGAATGTAAATGCGTTTGTGCCCTGTGAGTGTCTGAATGTAGATGTGTTTGTCCGTCTCTGAGTGTCTGAATATAGATGTGTGTGTCTGTCTGTGAGTGTCTGAATGTAGATGTGTCTGTCTGAGTGTCTGAATGTAGATGTTTTTTTCCCCCTGTGAGTGTCTGAATGTTGATATGTTTATCTGTCTGAGTGTCTGAATGTAGATGTGTCTGTCTGAGTGTCTGAATGTAGATGTGTTTTTCCCCCTGTGAGTGTCTGAATGTTGATGTGTTTGTCCCCTGTGAGTGTCTGAATGTAGATGTGTTTGTCCCCTGTGAGTGTCTGAATGTAGATGTGTTTGTCCCCCTGTGAGTGTCTGAAGGTAGATGTGTTTGTCCCCCTGTGAGTGTCTGAATGTAGATGTGTTTGTCCTCTGTGAGTGTCTGAATGTAGATGTGTT